GATCAATGGTGATCTACTGGTGGAACCTGTAAGGTTCGACTTGGAAAGGGTAGATTCTAGAACTGGGAGACTTGATCCTCTATCAGATCAATGTTTTTTTTTGTGAGGCTAGCTTAGTTGTACCACCTCAATGCGTTTTATTTCAACTACAGTTCTCCACCATCATGTTTAGGATGGCCATTTAGTTGAAGTTATTACCTGATTCTCTCCCCTCAGTAGCAAGAGTAATCTTTCTAGTGGATAAGCAAAAATAATTGTAACTGGTTCTTCCACTTTTTAGTTGATGAATCTATTGGCCTCCCAGCTCGATGTATTTATGCTTTGCTTATCCAGTTGCAGTTTTGAGTTTCATATGGTTCACTTGTCTTGTCCAATCTTTCATGATACAGGACTCTGGGAATGCTGGTTCAGTGCCAAGTGGCCCAAACCTAAATGAGTATTATAAAGTAATACTGAATAGGTATATCTTCATTTGAAAGTGTGGGAAAGCTGTTCAGTATTTCGGGCACAGTGATGCATAGCTATCACATTTTAAAGAAGTGAAAGCAACAGAATTGGGTGGTGATATTGCAATACGCTTTACTTGAGTTCAGACCTGGTCCAATGTTGTTGGCCAACAGTCTTGCACCCTTATCCGTAGCTGAGGAGAGGAGGGTGATAGTGACAGAGGGACATCGCATTAGAGGCTCCATGCATTGATCTTGTACTGTGTGGAGCAAACATTTAAGAGGTGGGTGTATGTCATGTTGTAAGTTTTAAGGTGCCAATATGTGTTGTAACGCATAGTTATGTATTGGAAACCTCAAAGTTGTTGCATTGAAACTTTTATTTTGAAAAAAAGTTTAACTGCATAAGCACCTGTTGGGTGGCCGATGTCACTAATCCGAACATGCCTGCTGCCTGACCTTGTGCTAATTTTTAGCACCTTTATTGTCAAAGGAAGAACGATAGGATCTGATGGCTCTCTGACTCTTGCACTATCAACACACAAAAAAAATGAAAGTAGAATTCCTTCTCATTTTTATATTGAGTTCAGCATGGACTTTGATGCTCACTGATACCCGATGACTTCAATCCAGATATATCACTGTGGACAGGCTTTTATCTGCTGTCTGGATAACCTACAACAAAGAAGTGTCTTTTTTATTAAAAAAAAGACGAGCATAACATTAACCTAACTACTTTTCAACATTTAAAAGGATGAAATGTACAAAAGGGAACTGATTCATTCTGAAATCATCTCTACGTTGTGTGCGCTCTATATAGGAGTATTTTGTATTAGGCTATTTTAGGAAAAATGCTGTACAGTTTGCTTTTATAAGAAGTTATGCCTATACTGTTTTTAATGTCTGGTTTTCACTAAAAATGCACAAAATTGCTGTACAGTCCAGTGGAAACACAGCGGGCCTGACGTATGTAGACTGGAATAAATACTATTTGAAATAATGCTGACGTTCCTTTTTTTTAGTTGTATTAATCTGTATTAATATACCCTCAGCAATGCTGTGTGGCAGCAGAAGAACGAGAGGAGTCAAGTAGCTTCTCCTGCTGTAAATTGTATCCCGTAAATTTAATTTGTGATCGTTTGGAATATTGCATGATGCACTCCTGCTGTGAATTCACAGTCAATGGTCTCTTGGCTAAAGTCCTATAGATCCCTAGTTGTAGCAGAAGGAGAAGAAAAATTACTTGGGACAAGAGAGGTGAAATGAGAGCTGGTTTAGTTCTCAGCCTTTTCCTTGTCTGCTCATTGAAAATAAGTCAGCATTGACCAATAATCAGAATTTGAGAGTACCGTTAGTATTATTTCCACACCAGCAGAGGGGGAGCAGAACAATGGTGAAGTTTTTACAATATTGCTTTTTTCTGTTTAATTTTTATAACCTAAATTGCATTCTCACGAGATTAAAGGGTTCTCTAAATAGCTGAGTACTGGCGTCAGTCACACTGATGATCCTCAAGGTTGGGTATCATCCTGACAGAAGACTACAGCGTGGTGAGCAATTCTTTATTTGACCACAGGGCGACAGCATTACTTTAGCCCATTTCACCTTTTATCTCATTTTATTCATTATTTTTCATTAATCCAAGTTCAACTCCCACCCTCACCCCCCCAAAAAAAAAAATCTCTTGGTGTCCTTAATGTTTGTGGAACTTTGCTGGCACACACTGGTTGCGGCTGTTGTTAAATAAGACTATTTAATAATGATCCTTGCATTTGATATAGCGCCTTATCACGTCTTTGAGACGCCACAAAGCGCTTCATATCCAATGTAAAAGTATTTACTTTCAGATTATCCGTTTTACCTTTTTTTAAAGAAAGAATAAGACGTTCATTTAAATCCCTTGCCATTGTTGGTGAACATCAAGGGACCCCTTGCTGTTATTCACAAACAGTTGCGTAGAGTGATACGGCATGAAAATCGGGCCATTCATCTTAGCTTATGCCGGTCTCTATACTCTGCACAAGTCCCTGCCTTGAAAGAAATGTGGAGTCTTTCTCTTGATTATGCTTGTTTGTTTTCCCTTCCACATTCAAAGTCAACCCAAATTCAAATTGGTAATCATATCTTTATTATTTCTAGGTGCTGCTAAGCACAGGTTAGATGCCACATTTGCTTCACAACAATGTTCATCTGCAACAACAAATCATGTGACATGGTTTGAGATGTTTCAACAGTATGAGGAGGCTCGACGAGGTCCTTATGTTTGCCTACAAAATGCAGTTACTACACTTTTTTAACAAAAATCCTATGAGGTGCTTTGAGATCTCCTAACATGAAAGGCTCTATCAAATGCAAGGATTTGTATCAGTTACAACAAATTGCAGTCATCAGATCCTAGATACTTATTTCTTGCCAAGCCATTTCCATCTCCAGCTTATCCTTCCTAGCCAAAGTCCTGCAACGTGTTGTTGCCGAACAACCCTGCTCCCACCTTCCCCCCTGCTCAGGTCCTGACCCAACTGTCCAGCGCCTTGGGATGTCCTCCCGACGTGAAAGACGCTCTATAAATGAAATCTTGTTGTTGCCTTCCCACAAGCACTGAAACAGTCCTTATCAAAGTCACCAACATTGTACGACCGGGACTCCCTCCCTCCTCTCTTTGATCTCTCTGCTACTTTTAACACTGTTGACCACTCTTCCACTTGTATGCAGATGATACACAAGTCTCCCTTTCCACTGCTCTTGATTCTAGATCCACTGATGTTCTGTCCACTTGGCTGTCACACATCAAGCCCTGGAGTATCAATTTCATGGCTGATCTGTAACTCAGCTCCAATTACCCTTTTCTCCATATCCCTTGATACCCTCACCTAACAAATATTTATTGATCTCAGTTTTGAAAGTTCACAACATTGGCAAAAGGATCGATCCTCAGCTCCCAGCTTCCTCGGTCCCAGACCAAGGTGGTCTTCCTTTACTTCCAACACATCACCTGCCTCCGATCCAAACTCACACCACGAGCTACCTTATTCACACTTGTTACCTCCTGCCATGGCTTTCTAGCTGCCCCACCCCACCCAACCCCAGCCCTTCACCTTCAGTGGCAGAGCATTAATCACTACTTTTGCCCACAAAATTTAAAGCCAATTCACTTTACTGTATACTCTGTGAAGCGCTTTGAGACGTCTCATGATATGGGGGTTCATCAAAAGTGAGGATTATAATAATTACTATTAAAAAGAACCAATGCAGATAGAGTGCAAAGAAACTCTAAAATTTAAGACTTATAATAATTCTTGGAATTTGATATAGCGCTTTTCACATCTTCTCAACGTCTTAAAGCTTCACAGAATATACTGTAAAGTGAATTGACTGCATATTTATGGGCAACATGCAGCAGCCAATTGCGCACAGCAGCATCCCCACGAACAGTTGTGGATTGAAGTGACCAAATTATTATTTTTTTGAGGGATTATTTTACCCCCAGAAAAGCGATCCGCCAATCGACTAACCAACCGGGCTTCCTACTTACTGCTGGGCACAGAGGCGTGTGGAGTGAGTAAACCTGCTCAGGGTTTCACCCTGTCCTGCCCGGGAATAGAACCCAGGTCTCTTGCTAACCACTGAGCTACAGGGCTTAATTGGGGGGGGGGGGGGGGGGTGGCGGTATTCATTGTATTCATTGGCCGTGCCTTCAGCCACTGTGCCCCGAGGCTCTGGACCTCCCTTCCTCACTCCCTTCGCCCCCTCTCTTCCTACTTTCAGGTCCCTTCTGAAGACCTTTCTTTTCCACCGCGCCTTTGGTCACCTTCCTCCCCCTCCCCCTCCCCCCGGCTCGGCCCCGGGATTCCTGACTGTGAAGCGCTCTGAGACGCCGTCCGGCGTGGAGGCCGCTGTATACATCCAAGTTGTTGTTGTTGTGGTTGTTGGTAAGGAAACAATCCCAGACATGGGTGGGTGGGTGGATGCGTGGTTGGTGGGGGGGGGGGGGGTACATTCTCTTGCACTGTAAACAATCAATGAACCGGTTGACACTTCAGACAGATCTGTTTAAATCCCACCCCACCCCCAGGGTACCCACCCCACCCCCAGGGTACCCACCCCACCCCCAGGGTACCCACCCCACCCCCAGGGTACCCACCCCACCCCCAGGGTACCCACCCCACCCCCAGGGTACCCACCCCACCCCCAGGGTACCCACCCCACCCCCAGGGTACCCACCCCACCCCCAGGGTACCCACCCCACCCCCAGGGTACCCACCCCACCCCCAGGGTACCCACCCCACCCCCAGGGTACCCACCCCACCCCCAGGGTACCCATCCCATCCCCCACGGTACCCACCCCCCACGGGTACCCACCCCCCACGGGTACGAGCGCGGCGCCGCCGCACAGGAGGGGAAGCAAACGAAAGGGCGAAGGGGGTTCGCAGCGAGAACAACATGACGTCACGACGCGACGGCCGCCAAGGTCACCAGCCGCGAGGTATCGCTTCCGGTGTCGGGCGGCCGCGGAGGGGGAAGGGCATAAAAGGCCGCGACTGACGCACTTCCGGTCTCTCTGGCGCGCGGTGAAAAATGGTGAGTGCGGGAGAGAGGCCGTGAGGGGACCCGCGGCGATCCGCGTCCATCGGCCGCCATCCCGACCTCCGCGGGGTCCTCGCCGCCGGGGATCCGCCCCGCGGGCCCTGTTAGCTTCGCGGCCGGTTTTATTGGCAGGAGTTTTAAGAGCGGGAGCGAGACGGCCGCCTCTCCCCTCCCCGGGTTCTTCCGGCGATGGCTTCGTACTCGAGTCCCAGGCTCGTGCCGGGGCCTAGGCTGACCGGCTCGGTCCGCGGCCTCCCATTCTGCCCGAGGCCGAGGCCGTGGCGGTGGTTGAGGCCCCGATTCCTTATTGCAAAAAAAATCTGATCTCTTAAGAAGGGATTTAGTCAGAATATCTCGAGGAGGGTCGGACGGTATAAAGGGGGGGAGAAGGGGGAGACAGTCAGGAGAATGGGACTGAGGCGATAATAATAATAATCCTTGCATTTGATATAGCGCTTTTCACGTCAGGAGGACGTCCCAAAGCGCTTCACAGAACACACTGTAAAGTGAATTGACTATATATATATTTGTGGGCGAACGCGGCAGCCAATTGCGCACAGCAATGTCCCACAAACAGTCGTAGATTGAAAATGACCAATTTATTATTGTTTGTGGTTTTGGAGGGATTATTATTAGGCTCTGTGTGGAGTAAGGAAACTTGCCCAAGGTTTCGCCCTCTGCCTGGAATTGAACTCAGGTCTCTCACTTGCAAAGCGAGTGCTCTAACTACTGAGCTACAGGACTCCACAAAAAAATGGCTCTGACAGGACCGGACCGCACCGCACCGGCAGCAAACACTGGGCTGTGAAATGCTCCTCGGTTTGCAATGACTCGCGTTGCGTCGTCCACTTCTTTGCGGCGGAGAGAGTCCGGAGGCTGCGTTAGCGGTCAGGCCCTGTGGCCGGGCCTCGGCGGTCATTCGTTTGCTGTTCGTGGCGTTCACTTAAAACCCGGGGCTCGGCTCCGCTCTGCTCCCCGGGATCTCCCGGTGCGGTTAGACGTGACGGCCCGAGGGTTCTGATGTACGTCCCGTGTAAAGTTCCCAACTTAACAGTTTCTCAAGACCGCGCACAGGGGTCCCACTGCAGGGGAGTGGTCGCCCAGCCTGATGCTGACTGCCCACAGTCCAAACAGAGACACCGTCTGGGCAGGGGTCTCCGGGCAGTGATCAACAGCGGGAACCTTGGCTACTCAATCCCAGGCCACAAGCGTTACAGCTACTGTCCTAGTTGGTATCCGCCGCTGTCCGGCGTGGAGGGCGCTATATAAATCCCAAGTTGTTGTTGCCAAGCGCTCTGGGGTGCTACCCCATGTGAAGGGCGATATATAAAAATGCAAGTTGTTGGATCAGTATCGAGCAGCTCTGCATGGCCCACCCTTTACCACCAGGTCGTTGGGACAGCCTGTAATGTATAAACTACCCTGGTTCCTTCCTCAGGAGTTTGGATAGTTCTGTACTACTTCACCCTCACTCCAACCAAGTGTTGTAGCCTCGTAATAAGTTCAGTGCTCCTTAAGTACAATGGCTGTCTACATTTTTTGAGTGGCTAAGTGAGGATCAAGGGCCACCTCCACAAGCTTGTCATGGTGTCCTCTGTAGGCAGCTCACAGCTCCTGTCATCTCATACAGCGATGGGAGTAGAACGTGACTTGCAGAGCAAAGAATTCAAACACGGTGGGAAAATGAGCTTGGGACTGATGACTGTTGCCATTTGCTGACCACCCAGTACTCTGGTTCTTCTCTTTCAGACGAAGGGAACGTCGTCATTTGGTAAACGGCGGAACAAGACACACACCTTGTGTCGCCGCTGTGGGGCCAAGGCCTTTCACCTGCAGAAGTCGACCTGCGGCAGATGTGCCTACCCAGCCAAGAGGAAGCGAAAGTGTAAGTAATTCCACTGGTGGAATTACTTTGACCGAGCCTTCGGCTCCCCTCTCGACTCTCTACCCCCTCCTCGCTCCCTCCCTTCCCTCTCCTCACCATTTCCCCCCTGCTCGGGTCCTGACCCAACTGTACAGCGCCTTGGGACGTTCTCCTGACGTGAAAGGCGCTCTATAAATGGAATCTTGTTGTTGGTGGTGGCAACAACAACAAATTCCCTTTTGTATGGCGCCTTGCATGTCAGGAGGATGTCCCAAGGCGCTGGCCAGTCAGGGATCCACACCAGAGCTGGTGGTTGGGATCAGGAGGGATGCCGGGTGGGGAGAGTAGGGGTAGGAGGGAGACCGAAGGCACGGTTGAAGCGGAGGGTCTTGAAGGAGGCAGCATCGCTTTGGGTGACCAGTGAAATAGTTTGCGGCAAACCAGAGTAGCAAAACGTGGTCTGATAATCAAGTGGCTCGGATTCCAGGTGGGAACCTACCACATGTGCAGTAACAATTTGCGTTTATATAGAGCCTTTCATTGGGTGGGTGGGGGAGAGAGTTTTGGGAGCTCTCAAAAACAATTGCATCAATTTGTGCTTCTCTCCCCATTCCCCCATTAGGTGATAGCATTTTATTTTGAGCGATTGTTGTCGCTGCTTGTTTGATCCCTTTCTAACAGTTGTTTTAATATTGCTGCTGGTTTTGCTGTAGACAATTGGAGTATTAAAGCCAAAAGGAGGAACACAACTGGCACTGGTCGCATGAGGCATCTGAAGGTGGTTTACCGCAGATTCAGGTAAAGCCTGGCAATGGAGCTGGTATTTTGGTTCCAGCTTTTACTGTCATCCCCTCCGTCCCCTACCTACCTGCCCGTACCCTCCGTTCCTCTGGCTCCGGTCTGCTCCACGTCCCCCGCCCCAACCGCCCTACTATCGGTGGTCGGGCCTTCAGCCTCTCAGCCCCCAGGCTCTGGAACTCCATCCCCCAGTGCCTTCGCCGCTTCCTCCCTTTCCTCCTTCAAGGCCGGTCTCAAAACCTTTCTCTTTGACCGTGCCTTCAGCTCCCCTCTCGACTCTCTTCCTCCTCCTCTCTCCCTCCCTTCCCTCCCTCCCCTCACCCTGACCATTTCCCCCCTCCTCTCTCCCTCCCTTCCCTCACCCTGACCATTTCCCCCCTGCTCGGGTCATGACCCAACTGTGCAGCGCCTTGGGACGTCCTCCTGACGTGAAAGGCGCTCTATAAATGGAATCTTGTTGTTGTTGTTGATGGTAAACTATACCCTCAGTTCACCTTGTGCAATTAGACTGTTCTGATAGAGGATGTAGGAAGTGTTACACTGGAGGTTTGTGTGGAAACAAGATGAGAGCAGTGTTTCTTCCTAATACAATGTGTAAGATATTAATTAAATCCCAACCTATATCCAATACCAGACAAAATGAGTGCAAAACTTTAATTTTTTTTCAAAAGCATTATGCATTTGGCTTCGAAAGTTTATTTATTGGGAGTCATTCTAGTTCATTCCCCAAGATTAACTGCATTCACTTCATGAACTGCCGAGGTGAGATAAGTTGCACCTTGTACATTCTGTTTCTGGCACATCTTTAGTGGCAAAAAAAATTGTGACTGTATTTAAAACCAAGAAACGGGAGTAGAAATGATTAATTAAAACATAAGAAACGGCTTTATTGGAAGTCTTTACAGACCAGCCCGAGGGAGCAGGGAGCAAGGGTTGTCCATGCTTCAGAGCTGCTGCTTGTCCAGATTTTTTTTTGATCCATTTGTCTCAAGGGTTTGTCAACAGAGGGGCAAGTTCTGAAGTGGTTGTAGTTAGGGAGGTGCTGTTTTGCCAACAGGTGAAGTGCAGTGGAGGAAAATTCACTGGCATATCCTGTGCTGGTGTTCACTTCAGGTCTCAGTTGCAGGATCGCGCCGTGTGCTGACCACTTGTTTCTGTTGTGCCTGCAGGAATGGATTCCGTGAAGGAACCACCCCCAAGCCCAGACGCGCTGCAATGGCTTCCTCCAGCTCAGCGTAAACCTGTCTCTATCTGTTCAAGTAACAAATAAAGTGATCTTTCAGATACAACCCAGCCAGTGATCTCTTGTGTTACTGTTTCAATTCATACCTCAACTGACTCGTGTATTCTGCATGTATTCCAAACTCAAACTGTCTCAAAGATTCTGTTTAACTTCTGTCTTGTTTAAGAAAAAGCGTAGGAGAAAGCTTGTGGGTTAAGGATGGTGATTGTTCCGTCATTGGGAACATGAGCTGTTCAGTCAGAGTGACTGATCCTACGTAAGTGGATGTCTGAGAGAGAGTTGTGAATGAAGATGGGTGTCAGTGTTTGCTTTAACAAAATATGCAGTCAATTAATTTTACAGTATATTCTGTGAAGCTCTGTGGCATGATAAGGTGCTGTGTCAAATGCAAGGATGAAGTGAATGTTGTTTCGACAAGTTTATTTAAAATGCTAGCGTTTGTGATTTATGGATGATTCTGAATGATCGATGCCTAGAAGTGAATTATTGCAACAGTTACAGCTGATGTATTTAACATGAGGTTTCAGATTAACACCTACAACTGGTTGCTGTACAGTAAACTCCTGTGAAGCTCTGGTATTTCAACTAAAGTGATAAGTCAATATCAAAGACGAGGCTTATTAAAATGATCCACTTATTCTGAATGGTGGTGAGGAAGTAAACCAAACTTGTGAGCCAACCTAGGACATCACGTGGGTCGGATATAGCAATGCTCAGTCCAGGAGCTTAATTCAGGGTGTGGTAATTGACCCAAGCCTGGGAGCATAGTCTTACTATCAGAATATCTCACCTGGCTGCTGGAATTTCCTTTATTTTGCTGAACTGGGAAGCTGCACTTAGGGCAGAGGATTTACTATTCAAATCCTGCTAATCCCACTTGAGTCTGACTCATCTCGTGAGATCTTGTACTGTCAACTACATATTACATAAAGGAGGTTCAGCAGTACTGTATAATGGCATCACATATTGTCAGTTTTAATTAAAAATGTAATGGAAATGATTGATTTACCAAATGTTTTGACCTACCCTTTGCTGTAAGCAAATTGCTTTTTCCCCTGCCACTGGATAAGGAGTCATGGTCATTTGTCACTCTGGTACTTCACCCAAGTGCCCATTGTCCATGTGTGAGCCTTGGCACATTAGTATTTAACATTACTGTACTATGTTGGGATCTAACAATTCGTTCGTCGTTCTGCAGTACTCCAGCACAATACTAATGACACACCAGCTAGCCCCGGCTCATCTCGTAGGATGGTCCTCGTTGGACAAGCAAGGAAGATTGCCAGACTGTGCTCTCAATGGCAAGTTAATTGCTTTTTGTCCCCAAGCCTTGACTTATTTAACCAACAGATACACTGGAATTAGATAAAACAAAGTTGAGTCCTCCTGGGTATGCATTCCATCCAAACATGGAAATTTGCATGTGTAAGTGGCATACAAATGTGTAATTCTTAAGCACGCTGATGGGTTTCTGCGTGTGTCAGGTACCTGGCTGACCAAAAAAAATAACAGTAGGACTTAGCGGGGAAGACCAGTCACTAGGAGCAGGGATTCTTCCCACTCATTTCCCATTAACTCTACAAGCCAAAACCCTAATGGGTAGGTTAGTCCAAGCCGGAAAAGCAGTGCTCTCAATGGCAAACTACATCATGTTAGCCGGTTAAACTCCAGGAATACTCCCAACGCAGAGTCTGGGATCCCCAAGCCATGGCTCTTGCCAACCTGCGCCTAATAATTCCTGCAATTAATTAGGTAAACGGTGCAGTTCCTTCGGAAGGAAGAGCACATTCTATTCTCAACACATCGTTCCAATACATAGGAAGTTCCTTATGTAGGTGAGGTGCATGGAAACCTCAATCTGGTCTGGACACTCCGAAACATGGTAACGGGTGTCCACGTGTGTCAGACCCCCGCCCGGCTGACCCTCCAGCCAACCAAAACAGTCCAGACCCGGGGAGGTTTCGATGAGCAGTACGTGAGATGGCAGAATGCTCAGTCAGGTCCGATGCCCTTGGGCACCGTGCAGGGAGTGCCGGGCACCAGGCTGCCCGCAAAACAGCCGCTCTGTGTGTCCTTCAAGCCAGCGTGTGGGAGGCGCTGTGAGTCCATTGAGCCAGTGGGAGGCGCTGTGTATCCATTGACCAGTGGGAGACGCTGTGTATCCATTGACCAGTGGGAGACGCTGTGTATCCATTGACCAGTGGGAGGCGCTGTGAGTCCATTGACCAGTGGGAGACGCTGTGTATCCATTGACCAGTGGGAGACGCTGTGAGTCCATTGAGCCAATGGGAGGCGCTGTGAGTCCATTGAGCCAATGGGAGGCGCTGTGAGTCCATTGAGCCGGTGGGAGGCGCTGTGTATCCATTGAGCCGGTGGGAGGCGCTGTGAGTCCATTGAGCCGGTAGTGTGGGACGCGATGCGCCCTCCGGCGGCTGGTGATGGTGCTGGTCGCTGCGAGTCCTCCGAGCCGAGCGGGGGCGCTGTCGGGCGGAGGGCGGGGGCCGCTGCACCTCTTGCCGGCGGTGTCGGGCGGGTTTCCGGCGCTGCTCTCTGTCTGTCTGTCTGTCGGTCTGTCCCGGGCGGGCGGGGGCGGGTTTGAATGAAGCTGCGGGAGGAGGAGGAGGTGGAGGCGGCCGAGTCATTGCGTGAGGCTGCGGGAGGTGAGAGGCCGGTGGGGGGGGGGGGAGAGGCCTGGAGTGGGGGGGGAGGCGGAGGCCACGGGAATTCCTCCCCTCCCCCCCTCCCTCAGGGGGGGCCCCGGGGGCGGGAGGAGAGAGAGCGGGAAACAGCGGCCCTGGAGCGGGGCAGCAGCCCGGCCTGGTGCCGGGGTCCGGGCCCGAGCCGCCGCTGCCCTTCCCCGGGGGGAGGGGGGGAGGGGGGAACATGGATAATAATTCGTATCAACGATCAGGTTCCTCTGTCTTGTTAATTGCAGAATTAACCGCAGAAATTTTCAGTCCCTCCTCACCCCCCAACCCCCCCAACCCCTCCCCCCCCCAACCCCCACCCCTCCCCCCCAACCCCCCCCCAACCCCTCACCCCCCCCCCCCCAAACCCCCACCCCCACAACCCCCCACCCCCCCCACAACCCCTCCCCCCAACCCCCCCTCCCCCAACCCCCCCCTCCCCCAACCCCTCACCCCCCTCCCCCTACCCCTCCCCCCACCCCTCCCCCCCTCCCCCCTCCCCTCCCCCCTCCTTCCCCCCAAAAAATAGCTTTTTTTAAAGTGTGTAACTGTGTCACGAGAAATGTTGTATTTTTGCTGTTTTTGTGATGTGTAAACCCGTCAGAGACCCGCAGTGTTTTTTTTATATTGTTATAATAGCGACGACGGCAATAATAATAATAATAATAATAATAATAATAATAATAGCAGTAATAATTCCTTGCATTTGATGCAGCGCCTGATCGCACCGTCGAGACGTCTCGAAGCGCTTCACAGGACGCACTGTAAAGAGGATTGACTGTGTATTTTGTGGGCAAAACGCACAACACCCAGTTCCCTCACAGCAATGCCCCCCCAAAAAAAAATTGCTGACGCGCTGAGTACGGAGTACAGTTGGGCGTTAGTACAGGCACCTCACAACCCGAGACCTTTGTCTGTCAGTAGAGCTCAGTTTCACTTTCGTGTAATGGATTTGCTAATTTGAGTCATTTTAAGAAAACGTGTGTGTATGTGTGAGACACAGAGGCAGAGGAGGGGTGTGGAAGAGATTGATATTTGTAGAGCCGGGGAGGAGAAAAATCAGGTAGGATTACCAGTCCGGACAGCTACTCAGTGCTCCCTGTTGGAACGTGCATGTGTGCGGGGACAGAATGTGGCTCAGCTGCAATGCCCATCGTTGCCAAATAGTGCTCTGAATCTCACTGTCTTAGGTTGACATGTGAAGAATGCCAATTTGGGTGGAGTATCAATCCCGATCTTGTCCTCAACTGACCTACACGGTATGGAATGCACTGCCTGAAAGGGTCGGTGGAAACAGATTCAGTAACAACTTTCAAAAGGGAATTAGATAGGCACTTAAAGAGGAAACATTTGCAAGGATATGGGGAAAGAGTGGGGGAGTGGGACTGATTGCGTAGCTCTTCCAAAGACCCGGCACAGGCACGATGGGCCGAATGGCCTCCTTCTGTGCTGTAATATTCCACAAATGAACTTTCACATAGTGGTCTTTCACTGGCAATCTGGTGCAGGAATCTTCCTTGAGTTGCTCCCTCACTATTTCAGGGATGCAAAGTCAACAGTGCCTTCCGCGGGTGCCAGCCAGACTGAGCATCGGCTACATCAGTCCCGGTCAGGATTTGAATCGGTTATTCTGGTCTGAATGGCCTCCGTGCCTCTTCCCAATAGCCATTGGGAGAAGCTACAAATAGCTCTCAACTTGAACGAGATTTCTTTGCTACTATTGTATTCAGTGTTAAAAACCTCTTGCATAAATGTCTGCTTCACGTCCCCCTCCTTGCTCCCCTGCCTTCCGCCACTCTGCACCCACCCTCTGGAACTCCATCCCGCAGTCCCTCCGTCTCGCCCCCTCCCTCGCCACCTTCAAGACCCACTTCAAGACCCTCCTTTAACCGTGTTTTCGATCTCCCTGATTTCCCCCCATCCCGCCCTCCATCCTCCCCCAGCTCGGGTCTGTAATTCTGTCTGTCCAGCGCCTTGGGATGTCCTTCCGACCTGAAAGGCACTATACTTGCCTTGGGCAAGTTTCCTTACTCCACACACCTAATAATAATCCCTCCAAAACAAAAAATAATAAATTGGTCATTTTCAATCTACGACTGTTTGTGGGACATTGCTGTGCGCAATTGGCTGCCGCGTTCGCCCACAAATATACAGTCAATTCACTTTACAGTATATTCTGTGAAGCGCTTTGGGACGTCCTCCTGACGTGAAAAGCGCTATATCAAATGCAAGGATTATTATTATTATTATTATTATTATTATTATACAAATGTTGTCTAGTAGATCCTGTGGCCACGAGACTGTGTCGGAGCCGGGCAGTAACATGCAGTACAGGGGATACCTGTGCCTTGGCGTGAAAGGCCCGGTACAAATGTAATATTGTATTGTACCTCACAAGTATCTTTTCCTTATTTATTGAGCAAGTCAAGAATGGTTATAAATGTGGCTTGTAATTTGAATATTAGAATTAATTCGGGTTTTTCCCCCAATTTTCACCTTCCTCCTTACCTGAAGGCATTTGACTCCTTTTTCTTTCTGGTGGGTGAGACTTCGCAGTCACTGTGCAATGCAAATGGCCATTATTCATGTGTGAAATCCGACAGTGAGTGTGAACAGTCAGGAATCATAGTTGAGCCGAATGCTGTTCTATAATAATCGTTGCATTTCATATAGTGCCTTATCGCATCTGAAAGTGCTTCACAGAATATATTGTAAAGTGGATTGACTGTGTATATTCGTGGGCGAAACGCAGCAGCCAATTGCGCACAGCAGTGACCCACAAACCGTCGTGGATTGAGTGACCAAATATTTTTTTTGAAAGGATTAGTTTTACCCCCAGTGAGCGAACTACCAATCAACTAACAACTAACAGCCAGGTTCTTACTTACTGCAAGTAAACAGAGGCGTGTGGAGTAACGAAACTCGCCCAGTGTTTCTCCCCACCTGGGAATCAAATCTGGGCTCTCTCGCTTGCAAGGCAAGCACACTAACCAGAGGACTCCAGTACGCTACAGGACTCCATTCATCGTTACCCACCATCCACACGTGCACCTTCTCGCATTTGGTATTGAAAAATATCTGGTTGGAGCCAATTGAATCCAACTGGCTTAGCCAGAAGATTGCTTGTGAATGACATGCTCTGTTAGGCAAGCGAGCAGTAATTATTTGCTTTGCACTTGATACCGTGCCTGTTTTGAATTACAGTGCAACATGCGTAACGTGTTAATGTTGAGTACCCAACTGGCTCTCCAGAAAACTATCTGAAAGGCATTGAGGTCTAATGTGTAGTGATTTACAACTAGATTTATGATTATTAATATGGAAACTGTGTCAGGATTCCTCCTGCTACCCAGCAATATATCATGATGACGCACAGGAACTCTGCTCTGAAAGACATTGCGCTCTTTAATGTTGTTCCCACAAGACAGCATGACATACACGAGGGGTTCCTTATTAAGAATCTTATAGAAATCACCGCACATTACACCCAGGTTTCAAAGAGACTAAAAGGGAACAAAACAATTCATGTGTATCTTCTGACCATTATCCCTACCGGTAAATTGATCTTTCATGTCCTGGTTGTTTATAGGTGTTTGCTGGGTGTAAATTGTCCGCTGTATTTGTCTATTTTGTGCAGTCCTGTAGCTCAGTGGTTAGAGCACTCGCTTTGCAAGCGAGAGACCTGGGTTCGATTCCCAGCAGAGGGCGAAACCTTGGGCAAGTTTCCTTACTCCACACGCCTGATGATAATCCTCAAGAAAAAAAACAATAATAAATTGGACATTTCAATCCACAACTGTTTGTGGACACTGCTGTGCGAAATTGGCTGCTGCATTTTGCCCACAAATACACAATCAATTCACTTTACAGTCTATTCTGTGAAGCGCTCTGAGACGTCGAGAAGACATGAAAAGTGCTATATCAAATGCAAGGATTATTATTATTACAATTACTCTTTCCAGTCAATTGTACAATTACTATATTGTGAATTCAGTGTTTCAGCTTCCGTGCCAGTGGATCCTCCACTCTGATATTTGTTTAAATCTGTGAGTGTAAGATTTGTACATTTGGCATTTTATAACCCGAATAATCTATCCATGTTCCTTTGGGGGCAGGGAAGGGAGAGTAACTGGAATCCTCAGAGGCAGTTGCCGATGCCTAAAATGATTAGTCATCAATTCACACTGAGGTTGCGCAACACATTAATACTTTGGTTGTGCTGTTACAGGCAGCTGTTGTCCCAAAGGGTAGGAAGTAAGCTGGCAGAGTGTCACTCTGAGTTACTTTCACACAGTCCTCCCAGTCACTGCATCAACAGTCGTAGGATCAGTAGGAGTTCTTGCTGTCATTACCCTGGAGACTGGTGACTGGGGTATTGCTCCCAGATGACGCATTCTTTGAGGTCCTACAGAACAAAGATTGCTCCAGATGTCCCTTGTTTAGTGGCACCTCTTGGTAGGTAATCCCCACCAATGATGGAAGTGGATTTTCTGTTTTGGGACAGGGTGGGTGGTGGGGTGGGGAGGAAGAACATTTTGCTTCAAATCAGTCAGGTCAATGCTTTCTGCTTGAGATTAGCCTCGGTTGTGTGGGGGGTGGTTCATGGGGGCCACACATCCTGCTTCCCTGAAGGAAGGAGGATATGCAGTGGCCAGCAGCCAGAAAGGGGAGGAAATTACATCGGAAGGCAATGTGTTCAAGCCCTCGATGCAGATGTAAAGACTAAAGCTTTCTTTGCTGCAGAATTTGCAGTGAACGTGGCCAAAGTTGACTGCGATTGCTTCTGTTTTTAGTACAAAGAGTCCTTGCTTCTGATTGATCTGTACAAATGCCCGTGGGCTGACATCAGACAGCGTCCCAGGAGAATTCTTGTGCCTGAAGTCAGTAAACTTTCCGTTTCCTTTAGAATTGAACCTCTCGCCTTCTGGCTTCTACTGGAGCAGTTGAAGAAATAGGATGAAGCCTCTTATTAACCAAGGGATTTAACAGATTAAACCCTTTGTTTCTTCACTTCTTATCTACTGTTCTGATCCCTTCATGAGCTTGTCCCTCCCCAAACTTTGCCAGCTCTTCCAGACCTTTTCTCCTGCCGGTACCCTCACATTTGTAAGCGATATAACAAGGTTCCTGTATAAGTACTCGTTCTTGCACTCTCCTTGTGTTGGGCTACAGTTTCCTAGCGCTGGATTCTCTGTGTTACCTCTCCCAAGTGTCCATTTTTTATGAGAACTTACACAGCATGTGTCGATTTGGCTATTTGACTGGAAGCAATCCCATTGAGTCTGACCATGTCTACATTTCGAATAATCTTGAACCCTGGCTGATTTCTTTCTCTTACTTCCTTTTATCAGGGACACTGAGGGCTGTTTTTTGGTCTCCATTGCTAAAGTCCATTTGCTGGATTGAAAATAGAACATTCCTGATCTGTACGCGTCAATACCAAACAATGCATTTGTCCACTAAGCCCATTTTTGCTCTTTTAAGATCTAACTGTGATCCATTTTGTGCAGATGTGCCCAGGTTCCTGCTGCTCTGTGAGAGGAACGTGGCTAACATGCAAACATGGGCTGTGGTGTTAAGTCTTCCAAGAGCTGGACTCCATCCCTGTTCAGGTTGCCCATCCTGGGGTCCTGGGGTAGAGGTGATGTGACATAGGCAATTCACATTACAGTATTTAGACATCAATTAGGTTGAATTGTCTCGACGACATGATAAAGGCCCTATATCAAATGCAAGGATTATTATTATTATTGTTGTTGTTGTGCACACTGCTTTAAACAGGACATAAGGGCCCTGTGTTAATGGAGCCGAACTGAAATTTTCCACAGTACGCAGTACCTGTGAGGGATCTTATTGCACTAGTGTGTTTGACGTGCTGTGAATATTATGAGGAGGGCTCCTCTAATATGCTGTGTGTAGGACAGGAATCTAGAAGGTCACTAACTGGGGAATGTTCAAAACTGAATGTTTTCTTCCTCCCCAACCATCATCCCTGATATCACAGAGTGCTCACTAAACTATTTTGGTCTGTTATGCTATTTTTAACATTATTTAAAAGCTGACGATTTACCCTGATCGTATCAAACGCAAGGATTATTTTAATACTGATTGTATCCGAGTTGAGTTGCGCCTGAGATTTCAACATTTTTCGCTTCAGGGTAAGTGGTGAAAGTGAGTAAGTGCGCACCTTGGGGTGTTAGTCCAGATCATTGGGGGTGGGGGAGGGCTGGAGATTTGTACATACGGAAATGTTATTCCTGGCAGAGGTCAAATTCCAAAGAGTTGTGCTAAGAGATTCTCTATTTTTAGATTCGGTCCAGCAAGCACGATTTTTTTTTTAATGTCTGGGCTCCTAAAATGCAGAGCAAGATTTCGAACTGGAGGAAACATTTCATCTCAGCACTTCGCTCGTTTTTTTTTTTTGGACTGAGGTTCTGGGTCGGGAATGAATCGAAAGTAAAAGCACTTTAAAAAGGGGAGGCTACACCCAAACTGAAAACAACAACAACAACAACAAACTAAATTGCATTTGTAAAGCATCCTTCGCGTCGGGAGGATATCCCAAGGAAAATAATTTGAAATGAAGGAAATGCCTAATCCAGTAACGCGAGTGCTCATTCACGTCAGAGACCTCTTGTTGCGCCAAATGTAGAGCTCAGAAAGTGCCTGGATCGATCGCTGGTCTGTGCTTAGTTAGCTGAAAATTGGGCTCGGCGCCCATTCAGCTGTTAGGTGAGACTTCCTTGCCATCAATCTGATATGGAGTTAACCACATTTGAACTTTGATCTACATGGGCCCATTTAGACTTATTCTGAAAATCACACAGCCTTTGTAAAGACAGAGAATTGACGCACTAAGGAGGAAACATAACCCCAACCATGTATCCCAGTATCGTATTGAAACACAAATGTACCAGGAACCTAGACACTGTCTTCCAACATCCAGGAAATCATTTGCTGCAATTTATTAGGACAAAGCAAACCACGGTCTTTCATCAGAAGCAATATCAGCTGGTATGTTAGCTAATTAATCCTTAATCAGTCCTCTTCTGAAAGCCTGTTATTAAGATTCAATTATTAACAGGAAGGAAAATAAAACAAGACTAATTACACAGCTTTTACTTCAAACCGTTTTATAACAGTGGTATTTGATACAGCACGTTCCTGCAGAACAGCACCACAAGTTATTTTGAAGTGTAGTGACTGCTGCAGTGTATGAAAACTTAGCAGCTAAACGTGCAACGTCGCACAAGCAGCAGTGAACTGAAAGACCGACTGGATTTAATGTGTGGGGTTTTTGGGGGGTGGATTTTGGATCGGGGCGGAGAAATATTGGTCAGGATCCTGAGATATCTTCCTGTTTTTCTTCTAAATAGCACTGGAATCTTTAACATCTGCCTGAACCAGCAGAGCGGGCAGAGCTTGGTTTAGCTCTTTGCCTGAACCCTGACAATGCACGAGCGCTTAGCATTATTTGAGCTAAAGTGCCGTCATAAGCTTTGCACCCACAGCCTTCCAATCCGGAGGTGAGAGACCTATGAGGCTCAACACCGTGAGTACATGTGATAATCAGATTAAATCGGGGGACTGTTTGTAAGGTCCAGATACAGATATAAAATGCTGGAGTATTGCTAACTGGTGCGAGTGATTGACGCCATAATTTGAAAGTCACATCACTTTGGAGGTATTCCAGATATGCCTGGCATGCACACAGTGATGTGTCTCAACCAGAAATGTCTGCCCTTTGAGCACGCGCGCCTGCTTCTGGCTGTATCCGGCGGAACGGAGAGCTCGCCGGGGAGCAAGTCTCTGCGTGTGGGTCTTGCGTCCCGAGGACTGGTGGAGGCCGGAGAGAAGGTAGAGCCCTGTAGAACAACGAGGGATTGTGCTGTAGCTTTCAGTGGCGTCTCCAACATATTGGTAATCTGATTCGCCCGCCCCCTCACTTCCCCGGGGATCACGTGCACTCAGATGTGCAATAGGCAAACCGCACTTAGCATGCAGCAGGGTAGCTACGAAGGCACAATTCAGATTCAATTGGGGTCTGCTCTCGCTTGGCGCATGTTTTTTTTTTATTTGGTCGTGTGGGCAGTGGCGGTTTCTATGGCAACGGCTGGGGGGGGGATAGGGGGATGGGGAGCGGAGTCCTGCTCGGAGCGTTCGTACAAGAGTGGCCACGAAGCAGTCAGAGAACACACTGGCGAACTGCTTGAGGGTACCCTGTCCGGCCTCGGACCGTTTCAATCAGGTCTTGCGGCGATTTTAATTCGGTTCCTTTTAATGTGCGTTAAAAGTTGTGCAACCCCCCCCCCCCCCCCCCCCCCCCCCCCCCGTATATGAAAACCACAGCAAACCTGCAGTTTTGCTCAGCAGTAAGATAGTCTTGCAGCCTTTTGACCATTCGTGCCCGTGCTGGCTCTCTGAAAGTGCTGGTAGTGTGCGAGGCAAAGAATATTGCTTCTCTCCTCTTGCTTTTTTTCGCACTGTACCGGGAGATGTCCATTTTCTCTCGTAAACATACTTTGACCCATTTTCTCTAGTTTTATTTGAAATAACAGTTTCAGAGAGCGAGAGCGAGCGAGAGGGAGCAAATGTAACCGGCAACGCTCGACCCAACAAAAAAAAAAACGACGCCTTGGGAGATCCTCCCGACGTGAAAGGCGCTATTCAGATGTAATTTTTTGTTGTTCTGTTTGTGGGTAGACTCTGCATACCCCGGCAGGCAAACTATGGCCCCTCCCTGCTTCCTTTCCTTGGCGCTGAGTTTAGGGCTGAGCGTTACACTGGTAAATGTCCTTCATGGGAAATGCTTTGCGACCAATGGAACCTTGAGCTGAGTATCCGCACTGGGAGTTTGCTATGGTGTAGTGATATTGTCCTGATCATCATCATAATAATAATACTTGCATATGATATAGCGCTTTTCACGTCTTCTAGACGTCTCGAAACGCTTCACAGAATATACTGTAAAGTATATTTGTGGGCAAAACGCAACAGCCAATTGCACACAGCAGTGTCCCACAAACAGTCGTGGATTGAAGTCACCAATTTATTATTTTTTTTATTATTTCCCAAGGTTTCGCCTGCCGGGAATCAAACCCAGGTCTCTTGCTTGTGAGGCGAGTGCTCTAACCACTGAGCTACAGGACTCCTGTCCACAGAGGAACACTGAGCAGAGCAGTTGACCTTACAGACAGTAGCTGTATATAGACCGTACTTCTGAGCTGTATAATAATAAAATAGTCCTTGCATTTGATATTTATATAGCACCTTTCATGTCAGGAGGTCGTCTCAAAGCCATTCACAGCATATTATTGTAAAATATAGTGACTGTGCATTTTGTAGGTGAACGCAGTGGCCAGTTTGTGCACAGCAATGGTCCACAAACCACTTCAAGCCATGAAGCGAATGATCAATTTTACCTGGGGCATTTGCTGGCCAGGACATCAAGAGAAACTCTTCTCTTTTCAAATAGCACCAATCCATCTACAGGGCCTCAGTTTAATGTCTCATCTGAGGGACGGCACTCCCATAGCACTGTATTTGAATGTCAGCGTACACTGAGTTCAAAGTTCTGACCTGAGACTTGAACTGGCAACCTTTTTATTCAGAGGCGAGAGCGTTTCTAACTGAGCCAGGTTATATATACGTGGGGATGGGAAGAATACAATTGTCTGCAGGTTATGATGGAGCAATTCAAGATGTTGTCAGAAGAGTATTAAAGAATACTGGCTTCCCTGCATTTCTCTTTCCCCCAGCCTTATTTTAATAAAATTAACATTTACTAAAAATAATACTGAAAGAGCTTCTCTGATGGCCCAGTGGGTGAAGCCAGTGTCCAGTGTAGCCTTGAGTTAGACAGGAAAGTAAAGCACCATCACGTCTCACCTGTCATGCCCAAGATATCGCACATGTGGTCCTAATTACTCAGCACCCACCTACATATATTAAGTTGGATATTTCCAACTTTTCAGAGAAACAAAGGTGCTGTATTGAAACTGCTGTTTTTTTTTCCTTTCTGTTTAGGCTGCTGAACCTGGTTGAGGCTTGTTAGCCTGTTAATGCATAGAGTAAAGAAAGTTAAACTTGAAGACGATACTACAGAAAGTTGGAAAAGGTAAGATACAAAGGCTATCCAATCCTGCCTCCTTATCCCTCTGTGTAGCTGGCTTTCGAGCTCTTGACTGTTGAAGGTTATAGAATTTTGCCACGTTATTTAGGTAGAGCAACAGTAACGGGTTCTTCTGCGTTTATAGGAGCGTGTGACCAATAAACACTGCAAAATCCCCGGAAATGATATAAATAACATTCCATAAAATTAGATAATGGTAGAATTTTTTTCAATTTAATTCCAGCTCCAGCGCTATTCAAACCTGCATTGTTTTTGTTTTGCATTTGGAAGCATTGGAGAGGGTCTGATATCAGCACTGTGCCTTTGTGCATATGAAAACAGTGCAGGCATCAGGTTTGTGTGTGTGCGTGCGCAGTCTCTCTCTCTCTATGCCTCTCTAACTCTGTGTTTTCCATTATTCTTTTTGCCTCTCTGTCTCACTCCCTAACTACGAACTTTTATCTCTTTAACTGCCCCACTTGCTGTTAGCACAGCAAAGCCCAACAATGATATCTTCATTTGATATAGCTCTGGATCACATTGAAACATCTTAAACTTTACAAGTTTTTCGCAGAAGTACTTTGCACAGTGATTAATGTAGAAACACAAATACTGATTACAGAAATGCAGTTCATTTACCGCCTTCAGTAGAGATGTCAGCCTGTTCCTCGGGTGAAGGTGATAGATCCCATGACATTATTGGAAAGTGGATTTTCTGCCAGCGAATTGATCGCTCCTGGCTGCATGTGGGATTTACTGTGCGCAAAATGGCTCTAAAAGCATTCACTGCATTTGACAGTAAGTGCTTTGAGATGTGTGTGCTACACTGGGACCTTGTGGGTCCTGAGATATAATGGCTAGCATACTTGCCTCTCAGGCAAGAGGATCCCGGTTCGACTCCAGGGTGGGGCAAAACCGTACGCAAATTTCCTTACTCTAAATGACCTCGTAGTAAGTAGAAACCCGGTTGTTAGTCGATTGGCGGATCGGTTTCCTGGGGTAAAAATCGTCTAAAAAAATAATAATTTGGTCACTCAATGCATGGCTGCCATGCGTGACTGGCTGCCGTGTTTCGCCCACAAAATACACAGACAATTTACTTAATAATTTACTCCGTGAAGCGGAGCACTTACTTTGACGTGATATCAAATGCAAGGATTATTGCTACTGAGATGTTTCAACATGATACAAACATGTAAATTATTCTTTTTCTTTAGAGGATGCTACCTCAGTGTATTTCATCTTTATTGCAACCATCACTGTGCAGTGTGAATGATGAACCACATATAATGATAGAGAAATAACAGCCAGTGTATATTACAACACATTTGTCTCTCTTTTTAATGATTCGGGACAGAAAGTTTTAAGTGGAGGTGTTATGATGGAAAGATATGAAGGCAACTTTGTGTTTGTTTTTAGGAAGACAAGCAGATGAAGCAGAGTGTAGTCATTTAAGGACAAGGCTCTTGTGTGTTCTTTCCCAGACCGGAATTGTGCGTGCACCGCAGGCCTGTTGAATGTGCGCGTGTGGCTGCAAGCTGACATGTCCTTGATAGGAGAAGGCAAAGTTCAGGGGCTCCGAACTGGCCCAATTATGAGCTCGAAAGAGATAGGCAGCGACGTCAGGAGCAACATCAGATGTTAGCCTTTCTCTCGCGTGTTGAGGAGGTGCAGGCAGAAGTGCAGGAGGATGAGGTGTGCAGGAACCTGTTGCTAAGTGCCAGAGTGTTAAACTGTAAAACTAGCGCATTGCTGTTTTAAATGTTGATGATCAGGGCCCCTGGGGAGGCCTGGTGGTAAATGCGTTAAACATTACAGACGGGAACATTGCAAACTCTCCTAACCTGGTCTGTGTTGGCTTATCTGATGGCCGAATTAGGAGATAGCAATTGACCTCCGCACTCCTGAATTAGAGAGGGGATAAAATCAATGGTGGTTCTCTGCCACCACCATCGACTATTTTGGGAACGGGTCACTAAGCTGGGCTCGTTCACAGAATGAAGTGGAGTGGGTGTGTGGATGTGATGCTGTTTTTCTTTTTTTTTAAAAAAGAGTTAAATTATTGAAGAAATTAAGCATATCTGTGCTGGGATCCCTGACTTTGTGGGGCGTGTCTCCTTAGAGTTTTTTTTTAAAAAAAGGTTGTCTCCTCTGCAGACGCTGACTCTTGCTAGGGCTAGTCACTCTCCAACACAGCCACCTTCTGACATAGTTACTCTTCATCGTGTTTGAGCCTGGATTGTGAGTGTAATCTCTGGATCTCCTTGCCCTCCATCTCGCCCTCTCCCTATCTATCTTCAGATCCCATCTGAAGACCTGCCTCTTTGACTGCACCTATGGTCACAGCCCCCTCCCCCTTCTCCTTTGCTCAGTGTCCGACCCTATCCTGTGTGAAGGATGCTATATGAATGCAAGTTGTTGTTGTAAGCAGGATGTTCAGTTGTTGGGGACATCGCTGGTTATCCCAGCTTTGCCTTCAATTGGGAGCAGGAGTCATTGAATAGCAGTCTGATTTTCACCTCTCTGGGGTGGGGGAGTGGAGAGAAGGGAGGATGTTGCCAATTTTACCATCTTGGCTGAGATCAGATAACTCAGCACAGCGAGGGAATTCAAACCAGGGATATCTGCGTTCCCTGAATGTTACAGTGAGCAGTGGCTTCGCTGACTGAGCAGAGCATTAAATATATATTTAGATTGGCCTGTGGTAAATGTGCTTTTGTTGCCTGCGTGCAAACAGTGTCTCAGTCTCGTGGCCGCCTGTTTCTCTGTATCTCTGTCTGTCCATCTGAAAGACCTTTGCTCTTTCTTCGCTCCGGTCACAGCTGTGTAGCGAGAGCCGAGGAGATGGCTGGGGTGGAATCCCTGCCCGAGAGTGCGGAGGTGGTGGAAATGGATGACACTCCGACACCGTTCTACGTGGAGAAGCACTCATGGGATGGGGTGCGAGAGATTATCCACAGCAGCAGGAAGTACCCCGGCATCATCATCAACAAAGCACCTCACGATTTCCAGTTCATTCCAAAACACGACGACTCGGGCCCACACTCCCACCGCGTCTATTACTTGGGTGAGTTGTGTCACATCGTACCCTTAAAACTGAAAATCATTTCTCTCTCCTTGTGCCGTGGGAGCGAGCAGGATTGGAAAAGATCATTGCTGTTCATCTGTTTTTTTAAATGCTGTCTCTCCCTGTCTCACACACCGTCACATTGCTATCCCATTGTTAGTTTGAGATTATTAAGCCCTTGCTGTATTGCTCGGGACCATGTTGAGTGTTGGAGTCCACCCTGTCTCACCCCTTACCTTAAGGGTCACCTCACCTCTCAATCCTGTTAAGTATAGTAAACCTCACCAAAGTCTTATCAGTTGGGATCATACATTTAATATGACTTGTGCAAAGGATGAGTTATGCCAAACTTGCGTAAAATATAAATTATAAGCTTGAACGGGGCTTGGGCAGATATATGACTTAGGCGATTACATGATTGATACAGATCAAACTTACACGAGCTTGACTGTAGCAACAATTGTGCCATTCCCGAGCCAGCTGCAAAGCACAAGAGTAGCTTGACAACTTCCCTTTCTCTATCTCTCTCTCTTTCCCCCCGCCTACCCCCACCCCCTATCCTATCGACTCTCTTCCTCCTCCTCGCTCCCTCCCTTCCTTCCCCTCACCCTGACCATTTCCCCCCTCCTCGCTCCCTCCCTTCCCTCACCCTGACCATTTCCCCCCTGCTCGGGTCATGACCCAACTGTGCAGCGCCTTGGGACGTCCTCCTGACGTGAAAGGCGCTTTATAAATGGAATCTTGTTGTTGTTGTTGTTGTTGCCACTGTAATGCAGAGCACTGAATCCTTCATGTGATGAGATGAGATATCCCCTTCAGTCATTTTTCTGAGCTAATGGTTTGCAGTGTTCTATGATCAATGCAGAGTGTATCTGGAGGACATTCGTATCTGAATTAAGTCGGCAGCAGAACACTATTAAATTAAAAAGATGGATATTCTACTCTCCCAATTGTGTGTACTGTCTTTGGAGCAGAACTGGTTTGGCAACAGAATGTCAGCATCAAGTTGGCCCTCTGTGGCGGTCTCGGCATCCAGTTCCTGAGCCAGGCAGGTCCACGCTATTCCAAGTCACAGCACAGACCAGCCTGGCTCGTCGGCAGGGTTTGGTGGGGCAGACCAGTCACTGGGGGCAGGAAGTCATCCCACTCAGCTCCTATTAATCCTGCAAGCCAAAGCCCTAATATGTAGGATGGCCCTAGCTGGAGAAGCAGCGGGAAGATTGCCAAACAGCGCCCTCAATAGCAAGCTATGCAGTTTTAGCTGTACCCCTCCATTTGTGCCTCTATCTGTCGTAAATCCCGCCAACTTCTATGATCGTATTTCTGGTCACCCCTCTCTCTTAGCCCTTGCTCGGCACCAACTCTGCCATTATAAAGCATCAGGAATTATTCTACGTGAAGGGCACTGTACAAATGCAAGTTGTTATTATTGAGTCCTGCTAAGTAACACTGGGAGCCATTTTGTTCAACAGGGATGTCTTATGGGAGTCGGGAGAATTCCCTCCTGTACTCTGAGATCCCGAAAAAGATCCGGAAAGAGGCGCTTCTGCTGCTGTCCTGGAAACAAATGCTCGATCACTTCCAGGTGAGAAGGACTTTATACAGCGCAACCTTCTGATGGGGGTTCGTTAATTGGGGAGGAGAATATCATTGAGGGATCCGTTTCCAAGTGGGCTGTTTGATGCCCTTGGTTTGCAGCTCACTGATCTATGTGCCCCCGCTCTCTCGAACTCCATCCTCCAGTCCTCTCTGCTTCACCCCTCCCAACCTGCTTCCTAAATCCACTAAAATCTCAATGATGTGATAAGGCGCTGTTTCAAATGCAAGGATAATTATCATGATGAATTAATGCCAATTATTTTGACCCTACTTTTGACTCATCTTGGTCTCCGAGTCATTTATGTTAAGTGCTTTGAGACTTCCTCCTGATGTGAAGGTTTAATGTAAATAAACCTTTAATTGTTATTGTAAAGTTGGGAGTTTTGACAATGATTAAATACCAAAAAAAATGCAGATTCTGCAGTCCTGGATACTGATAAGAAACTGTTGTCGTTCCTGTAACTGCAGTAAAATCACATCCTGCATTGAGTGCGAGTTTAAAAAAAAAAGCCCAAATTATTAACCTTACTCTAGTTGTGCTTCTTTTCAACCGAGGTAAAACGACTGAACAGGATGTGGTTTTGGATAACGTACAACTAACTCTTGGTGGTTGTTTGTTATTATGTGATTCAGTTTCTAGGGCTTTGTTGAAAAAATTGCTTGTAAACTTTTGATTCAGATTTCTCAACAAATTTGCATCATCAGATTACTGCGCAGAAAGGTTTGATCGCTAGGTATACGGAAGCGTTTGATTCTCGGGATTAGCTCTGAAATGTAAATCGTTTACAAGAAACTTTCGGATGTAAATAGTTTAACAGTGCTGTGGTCGATACAATGTGACCTCCCCCACTCTCCCCCCATCATAATTAGAGGCCAAGAAGTAAGTGCAGCACTATCAGGGTCATTGGGTTGCCTCAGAAAACCAATCAGTCAGCAGTGATTGGCCTCTTGAGCATTTTTCAGTGGTTCCTGGGTTGTAGTTGTGGTATTGAGCCTCCAGGCAGCTCTGCGTTGCGTGTCCAAAGCCAACTAATCAGTGCTGGAAGCAAATAAACCACACTTGTGTACACTGCAGGTCACACATGTTCCCACATTCTGTCCACACCCTCAGTCTGGTTATAGCTTTATACCTGAAAGGTTCTAATGTGGATTTACTGTGTATTTTGTGGATGAAACCACCAGCCAATTGCATGCAGCAGTGTCCCAAAAACCCTGTGGATTGAGTCACCAATTATGTTTTGAGGGATTATTACCAGGATTATTATTACTGAATGAGAAACCGATCCTCCAATCTACTAACATTTGGATTCCTATTTACTACTAGATAAACAGAGGCATGTGGTGTAAGGAAACTTGCCTGAGGTTTCGCCCTGCCTGGTAATCAAACCCAGGTCCTCTCGCTTACGAGGCGAGTGCTCCAAACACTACACACTAAACACTATAGGTTCAGAAGTCACAGACATTCTATACCCACAGAATTGCAGCAGTTGAATATTTGTTGTTTCCTCTCTCCCAGGCCACTCCGCACCACGGAATGTACTCGAGGGAAGAGGAGCTTCTACGCGAGAGGAAACGACTTGGGACGTTCGGGATTACTTCATACGACTATCACAGGGAAAGTGGCCTTTTCCTCTTCCAAGCTAGCAACAGTCTCTTCCATTGTAGGGATGGAGGCAAAAACGGATTTAATGTGAGTTGGCCCTGTAGACATGTCTTGTTCTTTATTCTGTTGCATTCACTGCAGTAGTTTCTTTTCTCTTACAAACTCCTGTTTTTGCAGATATCGCCAATGAAACCAGTAGAGATTAAGACCCAGTGTTCAGGTCCTCGAATGGATCCAAAGATCTGTCCTGGAGAACCTTCCTTCATCTCATTTATAAATAACAATGACTTGTGGATAGGAAATATTGAAACGGGAGAGGAAAGCGACTAACGTTTTGCCATAAAGGTGCGGCTCTTCATTGTAATACAATACGACATACGTTTATACGTCAGGAGGACCTCTCAAAGCTCTTAAAGGGTTCCACAAGAAATATTTCGATCTTGATCACTGCCTTTGACGTCAGGGCATAACTAATGGTCTCACAAAGCCCACGTGAAATGCAATAACTCCACAGTGACCCAACTGAGATCAGCTATTTTGGTATAGAGAGATTCGTCCTGTGGATGAGACGTTAAACCGATGTCCCGTCTGCCTGTTCAGGTGGACGTTAAAGATCCCATGGCACTATTTTGAAAAGAGAAGGGAGTTTTTCTCCCCCGGTGTCCTGGACCAACAATCCCCCAAATAAAATTGCTCACCCACTCCAAGGCTGTTTGTGAGACACTGCTGTGCACAATTAGCCACCGTATTTCGCCCACAAAATACACAATCAATCCACTTTGCAGTATATCCCGTAAAGTGCTTTGAGACATCTTGACGACATGACAAGGCAACATATCAAATGCAACTATTATTATGTCACCCATGACCTGATCGCAATAACCATGGAGCAACACTGAGCAAGCCTTTACTCCCTTTCCCACCGATGAGGAAGCTTGTAGATTTTAATGAAAGTTTTAGGAAAATGGACTGCTGATCTAAGACCTCCTTTGTTTTTCAGGTTTGGCCAATGTAATAGAGGATCCCAAGTCTGCGGGAGTAGCAACCTTTGTAATACAGGAAGAATTTGATAGGTTTACTGGTTATTGGTGGTGTCCCACAGGAACTGAAGGTAAGATCTCAGAGGCAAAAACCTCTCACTTCACACGTGACTGATGAATATTACAGCCTGGATTATTGTGTAAAATGACTTCTTGGCTTCATGTTTGTTGAGCCGATGTTTAGTTTAGATCATGTGTTGTTGATATTTTAGTACAGGCCTGCTCTCCCACCCCCTCACTCTGCCCCAACTGCACGCAAATTATGTGACCCCCAAATTCCAACATGTTTTCCTGCAATACTGTTTTGTCTTGAACTCGTAAGATTGAGCTAATTATGGAAAATGTCATCTTAATTTGAAAGCTGATTTCTTTTCGAGAACTGTGAAAAACCAGCCTGGGAATTCAGTCTGAATTATCATTCACTGTGAAGAACTTTTGAAACACGAATGTTAATGGCCACTTACAGCAAATGTAAGAATTATTATTAAATATTATTTTTTAAAAAACTGTGCTTTGGCTGCAGGCCCAGAAGGCGTGAAGATTTATTATCTCTTATATGAAGAGGTGGATGAGTCGGATGTGGAGATCATTCACGTGACCTCGCCAGCGCTGGAAGAGAGGAAAGCAGATGCCTACAGATACCCGAGAACAGGTGGGAAGCTGAGACCATAACATTGCTCAATCAGTGTGGTCATTGGGGAGTAATAAGTCACTGGGGGCAGAAAATCATCCCACTCAGCTCCTATTAACTAGGCAAACCAAAGTCCTAACGGATAGGGTGGTTCTAGCTGAACAAGCAGCAGGAAAGCTTGCCAGATGGCGATATCATTGGCAAGCTATGCAGTTTTAGCTGGTTAGACTCCAGTAGTTACCCCAACAACGCTCTGGGGTCCCCAGCCTTGGCTCTTACCAACCTGCATTTATTATTCTTGGAATTAGGTAACCAGGATGCATCTCTCCAGGGAGAGAGTGGGCATTCCTTTCGAATAAACATTCCTGGAATTTTCATGTGTAGGTGAGATGCATTGAACTTTGGTTTGGATACTGTTAAGCGTGGTGATGGGTTTTCGCATGTCAAACACCCATATAACCATGACTAAAATAAATTCCTATCCAACATGACCATAAATAAGAAGGGAATGGAGGGGTCAGAGAATAAGCATCTGCAAGGACTAGTTGGACTGAATGGCCCCTTCCTGGACTGTACAGTCTGGTAATTCTATGATCAGCACTCATACTAATAATTGACGTGACAGTATTATTTCAATATTGAAGCATCAAAATCATGTGCTAACATCATTCCTCCCTATTTCTGCTCTACAGGAAGTAAGAACCCCAAGATCACACTTAAATTATCTGAATTCAGAGTGGACAACCAAGGAAAGGTGAGTGTCCCTTTACAACCTGGGAATAGCAGCTGGACGCTCGTCCACCAATGGTGGGTTAGAGAACACAAAGCAGGCTGGAGTTTATTGAGTGAGGGAGTGGCTAGAGCATTAGGGTCACAGGTGGATGCCGACGTAGTGAGTGTGGTGTGAGACCAAGGAGGAATTTGAAAGTGAGGAAAAGGGTCTTGAATTTTATTCACTTGGGTATATATAGGCGAGTGAGGATGTGTGGGGGGTGGGGGAGCGGTTATATAACATCTTTCACATAGAGTAATGTTTGGAGCACTTTAAACTAAGGTCTGGTTTGTCCACCCTTCAGGTGGACGCATTCAGTGAGCGCACCGCACAATATCTTAAATGTTTCTTCTTCTTTTATCAGATACTGAAGACCGAGGACAAAGAGCTGGTGCGACCATTTGAGGTTGTCTTCCCTGGGGTCGAATATATAGCCCGGGCTGGATGGACAAAGGACGGAAAATAGTGCGTTTCCTTTTAGAGAAATTTCAGTTGTGACTGGACACCTCAACATTGCAGTTGGAGCGCATGTCCCAATACAGCACTTGAACCCGAAAGCTTTTAAGCTAGAGGCAAGAGTGCCACCTCCTGGCTCTCATGTGGGGGAGCAGTCACCCCTTCACACAAGAGTAATCACAGACTATTTAAAGGGATTATGTTTTGCAACGTTACTAAAGTGTCGGTGGTGCAGCCGGCTGTACAATTTGACTAGAAACAAACCCCTCGATGTTGGTGTTTTTGTGCGCGTGCTGAGCTCTGTAACATGAAGCTCGATTCAAAGCACGGCGTCGTAGTAATAATAATAATAATAATCCTTGCACTTGTTATAGCACCTTATCACATCGTTGAGGCTGAGCATCACACTAAACATAGAATATAAAATCATAATATAGTACATTATAATATACAATCGTACTAAACATTAGTGGGGAGGTTGTAGTTGTAGAATTGGACCAAGACATTCAAGATTTTAAGGGATGTCAATGCCTCATGGTGACTACTGAGGGGTTCCAGGTCACCACTACAGCATTCTGAGCAGCCCCTTCAGTGCCCAGAGGGGCTATTATGGCATTAGTTCAATAAACGTAATCAAAATAAATTCTCCTGTGTATCCTCCTCACTTCAACACCATATGTAAAGTCCAGCATTAATGCTAGTGTTATTTCTGAGCCGAACGATACAATTATACTCTCTCTGGGGGAAATTGGTTTCCGACCCAACAGTAGCTGCATGTACCAAGGAGATGCTGAATACCAGCTCGCCTTTCAATGTGACTAACGTGTTCTCCTGTTTCCTGTCACCCAGTGCCTGGGCAGTGTTGCTGGACCGACCCCAGCAGAGGCTCCATTTAGTCCTGCTCCCGCCTGCACTATTTATTCCCGTCACCAAGGATGAAAATGAACGGCTTAAGTTTGTAGAAGCTGTGCCTGAAAATGTCCACCCGCACATTATTTATGAAGAAGTAACAGATATATGGATAAATGTAAGTACGGTCAGCCTAATGTACAGTCAGTGCTAAAGTGCAGACTTGTAAGCAACAGCTGGTTACAAACTTTTACAGTGTTAGACGTGACCTGGCATTACAGGGGTTGAACCCTTGGCTATCTCTCAGCCAGAATATTGCAGGTGGCAATCTCAATGAAAGGGATATGGTAGATTTTTCATCACTGAATTGTCTGCACCTCAGATTTTCAAAGTATAATGGAATTCCCATAGGATGGGAGAGAAATGGGGATCAGGCAAAGTTCTGCTTGATTGCAGTACTGTATTTATCTGTAACCTTTCTCTTTGGAAATTAAATGGGGTGGAGTAGAATATATATGGTAAATAATAATCCTTGTATTTCATACAGTGCCTTTCACATTGGGAGGTCGTCTCAAAGCGCTTCACAGGATTTACTAGAAAGTGTAGTGACTGTGTTTTTTGCATGCAAATGGATTGTACCTATAGGGTGTGGAAGGACCGTTGTTGATGGGGCCGAAATGGGTCTTTTCGTATTCAATGCTTCTTATTAGACAGCTCACACTGTACGTGTTCACATTGTCCCTGCTGTCTTGTTTGTAAACTGCCACCTCTTACCTCGTCTCTTTTATTCCTATTCTCTCACAGGTTCACGACATATTCTATCCCTTTGTACAAACTAAAGACGAGGAAATCTCTTTTATTTGGGCAAACGAATCACAGACAGGGTTTTGCCATTTGTATAGAATTACGTCAGTTTTAAATCAAGGCTGCTATCGATGGGGACAGCAGTACAGTATAAGTGCAGGTGAGCTGCCCTTTTCATATCAGTCAGGTTACAAGTCTGATTTACCCAAACACCACGGACAAAGTGCTGGGTGGGGTGGACAGGGTGGACTAGAAAGAAGACAACAGGATCGCAGTTTCTCTCTGGGTCACTTGCTTGTAAAATGTTGCGCTTCTCAAGATGTGGGGCTGGAAATGAAACACCTTTTTCATCCTTTGCTTTCAGGATCAAGCAATGCTGTCCAATGCTGTCTAATCAAATCATAGGCCTTAACTAGACCATCAGAATATTAGCTGCACTGCCTCTACAATGTGCCCGCAAAGTCCTGTTACTTCTAACCCCCACCCCCACCTTCCCGTAGCGCACTGACTCACAACTGAAACACATGGAAGAATGCTGCTAATTGTATTTAGAAGTACTTCATTGTGTTCAGTACAAGTGTTTAACTGTATTTAGACATCCAGAGGATCGGTGTGTGTTTGAGCGCCGTCATTTTCAGGGCAGATGAACGATCCGTCACCAAATTCGGTGCCACAGCTTGGGTAACATGGAAGAATTGAGGAGGCGAAATGCATCTCTGACATCTTCTTTCAGCTCCTCCGTGATCTCGTTGTTTTGTAACATGGGGGTAACGGGACTTTTGTGAATACCCTATATATCAGATTGGCTCAATCGTCTGATTGACAACATCTTATATTGTAATTTCTTTTTCCAGAAGGCCTGGCCAGCACTTACCTGGCTGTGAATAGACTATAACATGCTACAACCAAGTTGTTCCATTTTGCGCTTGTAAATCTATAACAATAATAATAATCCTTGCATTCGATATAGCGATTTTCACGTCTTCCAGACACCTCAAAGCCCTTCGCAGAATATACTGCAAAGTGAATTGTCTGTATATTTTGTGGGTGAAACGCGGCAGCCAATTGCGCACAGTGCTGTGGATCCCACAAACAGTCGTGGGTTGAAGTGACCAATTCTATTTTAAAAAATCATTTTTAAAACGTTATATAAAAATAACATTGCTTATTTTAATTCCAATGTTACTTCAAAACCGTAAGAAAACAACAGCATAACTGTTTCAAACTATAAGTCAGCCTTATAGAAATTGTTGCTCCCTCTCTGCCCATTCTATCTCAAGAAGCGCTGAATCATTTGATATTGTCATATCTCTGCCTTTACTGCACTCCTACAGCTGTGCTGGACTGACTGTCACCTCTCTGTTCCTAGATGACTTTAAATGCCCGATTAAAGAGGAGATTGCGCTCACCTGTGGTGAGTGGGAGGTGCTGGCGAGGCATGGCTCAAGGGTAAATTTGCAAAGCTGATTTGTGTCTAATCTTCCTCTATAACTCGCCTCCTGAGATCAAGGTGTTCCCCCCCCCCATCAAACTCCATAATAGAACCTAATTGGTGTGCAACAATAACAGCCAAATATGCTACCTATAAAGCTACAGTACGTCCAGTTTTTCTCTCGCACACTGCATTCTTCCCTCCATCATTCAGTCGGCAGTCGCAGGTACAAAGTGTTAGACCAAAAGGAGCTGGTAGCATTACACTTGCTAAAACAGATTTTTATCCTGGAGAAGTGACTCCTTGGTGTAGTGGGAGAGTTAACTGGCTCCAGGGTGACCTGCCTCGCAACGGAATGTAATAGTAGTCCGGGTCCTGAGCCAGGCGGGTTTGCAGTATTCCAGGGTACTGGAATACTCCAGGGCACAGCCCAGCCTGGCTCATCGGCAGGACTTGGAAGGGCAGACCAGTCACTGGGGGTAGGGAATCATCCCAGTCAGTTCCTGTTAACACTGCAAGCCAAAGCGCTAATGCGTAGGGTGGTCCGACCTGCACAAGCAGCGGGAAAGCTTGCCAGATAAAAATGGGTAACGGCTGCGGGATCATAGCTGCATTCATATTAAGTTAAGCTTTCAGCTGGTTGTGTTATGATTTTGTGCTGATGCTGAGGAGATGCTTTAGGATTTCATCAAAGTATTTGCTCCTGATGATGATTCCAGATTTGGGTCAATGAAGCAACAAAGCTGGTCTACTTCCAAGCGACGAAAGACACTCCGTTGGAGCATCACCTTTACGTGGTGGATTATGAGGTGCCAGGGGAGATAGTTAGACTGACCAAGCCGGGGTACTCCCACAGCTGCTCCGTCAGCCAGGCAAGTATTGATCGTATTAATTGCTCCGAGACACTGCCCCACGTGAAGTGCGCTATGTAAATGCAAGTTGTCCTGCTGGGAAATGTGACCTCGTGAAATAAATCAACAATGTCAGGTTGGCAACTCCAGTAGCTGAGTGGTTAAAGGCACTGCCCAGTGAAGCTCTGAGTCTCAGACCAGGACCTAGCACACTGGCATCCTAGGGGGCACTGAGATAGCTGATCTTAGCCAGGGCAGGTGTAGTGGTTTCCACCAAGAGAGGGAAGGAGGAAAAATCAGAGTGGGGACAGAAAAGGAGAAAACTCACCCGCCCGCCAACAGTGGGCCAGGTAGGGTGGGGGAAATGCAAGTTCTTCCTTTATACCTAATTTGTTTTATACAAAATAATAATAATAATCCTTGCATTTGATATAGCGCCTCATCACGTCTTCGAGACGTCTCAAAGCGCTCCACAGAATATACTGTAAAGTGAATTGACTGAATATTTTATGGGCGAAATGAAAATAAAAGTAACGTTTTAGTTAGAAACATTATAATGTTGTTGTTCCACCTGGAAACCTATCCTTCTTATCTCTGCCTGCAGAATTTCGACATGTTTATTAGCCATTACAGCAACGTCAGCATCCCTCCCTGTGTCCATGTGTACAAGTTGGTCGGGTCAGATGAAGACCCTTTACGCAAAGAGCCAGAATTCTGGGCCAGTATGATGGAGGCTGGGGGTGAGTATTCAACTTGACATCTCCTCGAAGGCTCATTTTGTCTCTTTATAATAATAGCCTTTGCATTTGATATGGAGCCTTATGTTTGAGACGACTCAGCGCTTCACAGAATATAATTCACTTTAAAGTAAATTGAGTGTATATTTTGCGGGCGAAATGCAGCAGCCAATTGCATTTAAAATTGTGTCTTATTTTGTCTGTCTGTCTGACTCAGTTGGTAGCAATCACACCGCTGTGTTAGGAGATTGTGTTGGGACTTTGAGCTCACAGTCCAGACTGTCACAGCAATGCAGTACTTGAGGAACTCTGCATTGTCAAGAGTGCCATCTTTCAGACGAGACATTAAAACCAGATCCCCGTCTTCCTGTCCTCAGAAGGACATCAAAGCAAAAGAATTAAAAATTTCTCCTAGGGGACTGGTCAACAAGCCTTCAGATAAAATTGGCCGTTCAGCTCAATGCTATTTCTGGGACCTGGGTGTGTAAAATAGCTGTTGCAAAATCGGACGCTACTCTTGAGAGTAAATTACTCTGAAGAGCTTTGAGATGTTTCAAAGTGCTGATATAGTAGGAAAAATGCAGATTTTTTGATTTGCTGTGCACTGAGAGTGTTCCTCGTGCCTCTTGTGGCAGAACATCAGTGCTGTGGTTACCTTGCCAAATCCATGCACAGTAAAAACCCACAGAGGTTATGTCAGTCTGGACCATAACATTTAATACGATTTACACAAAGTCCGACTTACAAGAAAAACTGTAAAGTCGTATAAAATCAGATTTAATCAATCTACACTGCACCGACCGGTAAGTGTGGCAGTAATAGAGGATAGGTGAGCGGTGTTATGAGTTAGGAGATAATAAATACGACCAATGCAAAGAATATTTTAAGTAGTTTTGAGAGGAAATTGAATGGGACTCGGGTGGATGAATTATGCGAGTCTTATGGTACATATTTTCTCAGTTGTCATCTATTATCCAGTAAGAGGGAACTATCACTGTAGGACATATTAACACTAACTAGACCTCTCTGCGTGACTTTCTCTCTGTGGAGCTAGGTTTAGAGGGAGAGACTTGTGTGCGTGGATCTATCATGACACTCATATCACAGAACTCATGCCAGTATCTATTTTAGGATAATGTATTGTGTGCCAATTCACTTGATAACCAAAGAGCTTATTTATGATCTTGGTCAAAATCAGAAACGTGGTGAATGTAGAGCAGGTTAATCAGTATTTTGCTGAGAATGAAGTGCAAGATAGTATCTCAGGGATATAATAATAATGTTATATTGTTAGCTAATAATTTAATAATAATAATCCTTGCATTTCATATAGTGCCTTATCACGTCATCGAGACGTCTCATGTGCTTCACGGGATATACCGTGAAGTGTAGTGACTGTGTATATTGTGGGTGGAATCACTCAACGTTGCTCCAGTTGAACTCTTTCCTTCCGTGCAGGTTGTCCACCCGATTACGTGCCGCCCGAAATCTTCGACTTCCCCAGCAGATGTGGCTTCAAGCTGTACGGCATGTTATACAAACCACACAACATGCAGCCGGGACGCAGGCACCCCACCGTGCTCTTTGTGTACGGAGGCCCCCAGGTAATCACTGATCTGTGCGCTCACTCATTTCTGCAGAGGGGCGGGCCTTGCCTCTGAACATACACGTACGTTAAAACTTGCTTAAGTCTTTATGACCCTTATAATCGCCAAAATCGTCCATCCACCTGAGTCCCATTCCGCTTCCTATCAAAACCACTTAGATTGCTTTGCACTAGTCGTATTAATCACCTAACACATAACACCGCTCCCCTATCCTCCATGACTCCCCCACTCACCGGCTACATTGAATCACCGGAAATGTCGTCTTGATTCCCCCGACACATACGCAGAAGAACTTAATCTCTCGTGATTCAACTCGCTTCCAGTGCTTGCCAGTAAGGGCACATGGGGTGATGGGGCAAGATTAATTGAATTGTGGGAATCATAGTCTTGACCCGTTGCCGCATGTGTACATTGCCGGCTCCATTGAAAACTGGACTTTGAAATCCCAATCCTTCAAGGTTCCTCAGTAAAAATCTCCTGTGTTTTTGCTCCTGGAACAGGCACTGACTGATTTTTTTTGTTTGCTCCAACAGGTCCAGTTGGTAAACAACTCCTTTAAGGGAATAAAGTACCTGAGGCTAAACACGCTGGCATCTCTCGGCTACGCTGTGGTGGTGATCGACGGCAGGGGGTCCTGTCAGAGGGGCCTTCTGTTCGAAGGGGCCCTTAAAAACAAAATGGTATTTTCTTACTTAGCACAGAGACCGCAAATTCTACGTTTTACAGCGCCTCAAAGCGCTTCACAAAATGGGAATTATTAGAAATGGAGCGAATGTTACGGAAGCAAGCGCGACAGCTAATCTGGGTCAGCAAACACCCCTCAAACAGCAGCGAGACCGGAAGCAAAATGAGCTGCATTTTTTGGAGGCTGAGGCTGGAATACCTCCTGTTTCTTTGAAATAATTTTTGAGGTCAATTTCTGAAGCTCGTACGCATTATGTTAACACATAAAACATGTATGCCAGCCTGGCTCAGTTGGTAGCTCTTTTGCCTCGTGAGTCAGAATGTTGTGGGTTCAAGCCCCACATTGGTTCTTTGAACTCGCGTTGTCTAGGAGGCTGTTGTTGGAGGTGCCGTCCTTCAGGCAATATGCTAAACCGAGGTCCTGTCTGCCTGCTCAGGTGATCGATAAAGCTCCCATGGCACTACTCGAAAAGAGAAACGAGTTTCTCCTGGTGTCTTGGCCAACAATCTCCCACATAAAATTAGTCATTCACTTTGTGGCTGTTTATGGGTCACTCCAGTAACCAAACTGATTCGGCGTTTGCTTATGAAATATGCAGTTACGAGACATTACAGTTAATTTTGTGAAATGTTTTGAGACTTCATCCCAACATGAAAGGCTCTTTATCAATTGCAAGGATTATTTTTTTAAAAATCCCTAAAACATCCGAGCGTAAATTATACACCAGCACTGAAAGCAAGCCTGGGAAATCGCAGGCAGAAATCTATTCTTTTACTCTACAGAGTGACCCCTATCCTGGAATAACAGGATTTATTGTTATACTTGTCCAATTCCCTTTTAAACATGGTCTAGGCTTCAGTAGCCATTTGTAGCAAAATATTTCAGTAATAACCCTCTTCCGTCTCCATAATCACATCGTCCATTGATGATCCTGAACTCATGTCCCCTTTGTTACTAATCATTTATCTTCTCAAAGATTTCAGTACGGTGACTGGAAACTGCGCTAGGATGTTGTTTGCGGTATTGAGCAATTCATAAGAACATAAGAGCGTAAGAAATAGGAACAGGAGTGGGCCATTCGTTCCCTCGAGCCTGCCCTACCATTTAATAAGATCATGGCTGAACTTCTAATCTAATTCCATTTCCCCTCCCTATCCCCATATCCCTTAACCCCCTTTAGTTTTTTAAAAATCCCTCTGACTTGCCTTTTTCTCTCCTTTGCAAACAGGGCCAGGTAGAGATCGAAGATCAGGTGGAGGGGCTGCAGTGGGTCGCAGAGAAATATGGCTTCATTGACCTGAATCGCGTTGCCATCCATGGCTGGTCTTATGGAGGCTTCCTGTCCCTCATGGGCTTGATCCATAAACCCAAAGTGTTCAAGGTAACAAGAAGGAGCAGGACAATACAGGGCAGTCCTGTTGGCTGTGTATCACAGGGATGTGTTGTAAGCGAATCGCGAACAAATGGCTGACCTTGGCTATTCAGGTCACTTCTGACATGACTTTCTGTGTGCTATGTGCAACACACTTTGCTGGCATTAAGTGACATCAGCAACAACAACAAATGACATTTGTACAGTGCCTTTCACGTCAGGGATCTGCACACAAGCTGGTGGTTGGGATCAGGAGGGATGCCCGGTCGTGGAGGGTAGGGGTAAGAGGGTGACCGAAGGCACGGTTGAAGAGGAGGGTCTTGAAGTAGGCAAGAGAGAGGGCGAGGTGGCGAGACTGTGGAGTGGAGTTCCAGAGGATGGGGCCAGGGAGGCTGAAGGCCTGCCCACCAATGGTAGGGCTGGCAAGGTGGCAACAGTTGTGTGGACCTTGCTAAAGGTGGATTGATTCCGCCGTTGTACACTGAAGCTGGGTCTTTGGTTGCCTGATTGCTGCTCCCTGTGTCTAATGTACGATCCTGGTTGTGCTGCAGGTTGCGGTAGCCGGTGCACCAGTCACTGTCTGGATGGCGTACGATACTGGTTACACCGAGCGCTACATGGACGTCCCAGAGAGTAACCATCAGGGTTACGAGGCCGGCTCGGTGGCATTGCATGTGGACAAGCTACCTAATGAGTGAGTAAAGCTGTTTCTCAACGTACTGAGGTCTTCAATACTGAAAGTCAGCAGCAATTAAACTTACTGCTAAGTCTGAGGTCTATAGAGTATCACACTCCCGGTCATTTACTTATTGTGTACCAGTGATGTTCCAATGTAGGAAGTCGGCAGCATTCAATTTTTTTTCATAAAAACACGGGAACCCATCACCCTGCTTGACAGTATCCAACCCAAACTACTGAGAGTTTGACAAATTCATGTATGGGCGCACACTCTCTCTCCTCCTGCATGGTCACCCCACACTCCCCTCATCTGGAAAGTGTAGGTCTCAGACTGCGTATGCCGTACCCCCGGGCCAGTTAACCACAAGATTTATCTTGGATAGTTAAGGTGTTGTGATCCGCACACTGTCAAATAATGTGCAGACTTTCCTCTTGTATTTTGCTATGGTTCTGACTCTTTGTACCTTCTCTTCCATTCCAGGCCTAATCGTTTGCTGATACTGCATGGATTTTTAGATGAGAACGTGCACTTTTTTCACACAAATTTCTTAGTATCACAACTGATCAGAGCTGGAAAGCCATATCAGCTTCAGGTAAGCCAGGACACAAAAAACTAGCAATGTGCAGCCAAGCCCTTTGTCTCTGTGTTACATATGTCCAGGTTATATCTATATGTAACATCACACGCCTTATCGCGTCATTGAGACATTTCAAAGCGCTTGACAGAATAGATTGTAAAGTGGATTTGACTGTAGATTTTGTGGGTGAAACCATGTAAAACAGTAAAAGGAAAGAGCCAAGAAAATGGGATTGAAGCGTGTAATTGAGGTGGTGGAGTCAGCACTGATGGGATGAACGATTAGCTACTGTGATGTAAGTGCTGCACTGACTGTGAGCTGTTTTGTGCGAACTTCGTGCCTTGCAAGTAACCGAGTGTGCTCTCTGTGTGACGTTACAGATTTATCCGAACGAAAGACACAGTATTCGTTGCCCGGAGTCTGGGGAGCACTATGAGATAATGCTGCTACACTTCCTACAGGAATACCTCTAAGAAAGATGAGCAACAATAAGGAGAGAAAACGAATGGAGAGAAAGCCCTTTTTTTTAGACCGATGAACTTTCAACCCACCACCACCTGCCCTCCCCCCAGTGACTTGGTCTCTGTCAATCACCCCATATACCCTTTTGCCTCGACCACATCCACCTCCCCCACCCATTCCATTTAGCGTCTTCATGTTTGAAACATTACCGCGTACGGAGGAAACTGACACTGGCCCCAGTCAATTTGGTTTAAAACCGGGATTTGAGAGACTTGGAATTCTAACCCAACCTTACGACAGTTTAATTTTACATGTGTTAATGGTACAGTGTGGAATCAGTGTTATTTCATCCAAACTACATTGGCATTGATTTCAGCTTTTGTACATGCCTTGAAAACTGTGAGACAAGAGAAAGGGGGAGCGCGAGAGAGAGAGACGGACAGACAATTAAGACCAAGTGATTACTTTCATGGGCTTCAAAGGACATGTCGACGTGCTGCTGTGATTTTAACGTCATACTCTGCAAACAAAGCCGCTTTGGTTGCCCTGGTCGGAGCCCGTGGTTAACAAATCTTGTCCTTTTGATTTCTCCTTAAATCTCTTCACAAAAAGGAAAGCCGTTTTACCCTCTGGAATCTGCACCACCCATTAAAGGAGAGTATTTCAGGGCAGGAGCCAACTACAACTCTGCTGAGTATTCTAAGTGCGTATTATTAAAAGAAAATATTTTTATGGATTCTTATTCTTTTATAATGAGTGTATGGCATTGTAACTCATTAAAATAATTGTAACGCTTACTTCGACACTGCTATTTCTTTCAATATATGAAAAAATGGGAGGCTTGACAATTTTAGTGATGGAACTCCTCAGTTTTGTTTCAAACACACGCACAAGAATTAGGATTGCTGGTGGCGTGTGGCTCTTAAAGCTCCTTCGTGACGGCATTTAAAAGGGAATTGGATAGCTACTTGAAGAGAAATAATGGCGGAGACGATGAGGATTAGAATGGATCACTCCAGGGGGGAAAAGAGAGCACAGCCACAACAGGCCGAATGTAAACTTTCTGATCGCATGATAATGAAAATGGATATAATGTGCAAGGGTGAGGGTGGTTTCACATTCGACCAATTGCACAGTCTTGTCTTGTGGCTACTCTGCTCTTGCCTTGTGTTTGCATTTCATATCTACGTGCGTGAATTTCCAATTGGTGGTAAGCCACATGCTTTATTCTGTTCCATGCTCTCATTAAGGAGCTCACAGCTTTAAGATCCCATCAAGATCTAAGACGATGCTGTTAACAGATAACGATCAGTACGCAGTATATTTTAAAGACCAATTTAGTCTCAAAACACATCTCTTTGACCACATTTTCGGTCATCTTTCCCTTAACCCAGGGGTTTGGTGCCTAACCCCAGCTCGGGTCCACATCCAACATTGTCGAGCACTTTGAGACGTCCTCCTGACTTGAAAGCCTTTGGACAAATGTTAGTCATATTTCTCAGCCTGCGCCCTCTTGGTGACATCTTCCGCAGACATGGCTTCAACTTCCATATGTATGCAGATGACACCCAACTCTACCTCTCTGTCTCCACCCTTGACTCCATGACCACCGCTGTCCTGACAGAATGACTGTCAGACATCAAGTCCTAGACGACAGGTAACATTCTTCGGTTGAACGTCAACATGCCCGAGGCTGTCCTTTGACTCTCAACTATCCTTTCTACCCCACAACTGCACGATGACCTGCTCTGCCTTCCCCCACCTCCGCATCGCCCAGCTCTGCCACTGTCTCGCACTGCAGGCCGCCAAACCCTCATACACGCTTCCATTACACCGAGGCTTGACTATACAAACTCACTGATTGTCGGCCTCCCCAACTCCTCCCTCCACAGGCTGCAGATCATTCAGAACTCTGCAGCCTGTGTCCTCTCCCGCACCAGCCTCCACGACCCTATCATCCCCATCCTTTCCCAACTCCACTGGCTTCCATCGAACAGAGGAAGCAAACAGTTCAAGATCCTGGTCCTCACCTTCAAAGCACTCCACGGTTTTGCTCCCCACTACCTCTCTGACCTCCTAACCCACTACCACCCTATTCGCTCCCTCCTCTCAGCGGGCTCCAGCTTTCTTCACGTCCCCCGCCTTGCTCGCCCCAACTATTGGTGGGGGGACCTTCCGCCAATCTGCTCCCACCCTCTGGAACTCCATCCCGCAGTACCTCCACCTCGCCCCTCCCTTGTCATCTTCAAGATCCATCTCAAGACCCTCCACTTCAACCATGTTTTCCCTACTTGCCCCCTGTCCTCCACCTGCCCTCACCCCGACCCCCAGCTCGGGGCCGTAACTCTTTCTGTCCAGTGCCTTGGGACGTCCTCCCGACGCGAAAGGCGCTTTACAACTGTAGTTTTGATGTTGTTGTACAGTCGGTTGTCATCCCAGTGTAAAGGGTCGGAGCGAGCACCCAGTCACCTTCCAGTAGCTGTAACAGGTGTGTGGGTTTCTCCTAAAACACTATTCAGGTACCAGAGGTAACCTCTATTGATCTATTTCACTTTTGGATGATAAAACAACTAATTTTGCTGTTGCAATTTGTGCAAACATAAGAAGTTTCAACAGTTTCTGTCTATATTACAGTTACTTTAAGGAGAAATCCTAAAAGTGCGAGTGACAATCTTTCAAAAGACACCTCATTTGCTAATGTTGAACATTAAGATTTTGTGTTTTTTTTTGCTTTTCTGTGGAACAAACCTGTATCAAACCTGTGAAGTTGATGTTCATATGCTGTACGAGGTCTAACCACAGTACGGTTCTTTCATATCTGGCAGAAAGGAAATGGTTATGATCGATGCTCTTCAAACAAAGTTTAACTAACTCAGAGTCATGATGACTCACTTGCAGGATGATTGCATTTACTTGCAAACCAGCCTGCCAATCATATCACCAACGTGTTCCTGCGCAGCGGCAAAAGTAGTATAAATTCATCAGAGGTATTGCAGTCGGACTCACTCTGACGCTGTGCTGTGTCCTGAGGAGAGGAACACTGGAAAGTAAGATTTCTTTTGTATTATTTTAATAAAAATTCTCCCATTTCTGGCAGTGCTGGTGTCGGCTTGGCTCAGTTGGTTGCACTCTGGCTCTGAGACATTGAACTCCGATTTCAAACTCCACATTGGGTCTTGAGGTTCTGTGAGGTTACTGTAGGATCTTACTGGTTGCGTTTAACTGCAAGAATAATCACTACACTTAGCAGGAATGACTTAAGGGTGCTTTCAGATGGTTCAATCGGTTTCAAGTAATATAAAATTTTGTGTTCTTTCACTGCCCCGTGTCTCATCCTCTTTGCAGCCTCCCTTATTTAAGTTATGAATCTCGGTCTTAATACGCAGAAGGTAAGACAACTGTTTCTGGAGTAACAACTGTTTCTGTGGCCATTTGCTGGTTATATTGTCTTCTTCTATCAGATAATCCAGTATGAAGCTCTCTCTGGTTGTGAGTTGTGTGTTGCTGATTGTAACCTCGGTCTCCACACTTGATCCAGTGTTAAACAATGAATGGCTGAGCTGGAAATCCTTTCACGGGAAGCAGTACATGGAGGTAATATACATATTATAATATATATTATATCAACTGAAAGAATTATTGTGCAATACTTAACATCCTAAACCTGGATTTTGAAGGGAGATGGTCCTGTCCATTGTACATCTACAGTGATAGAGTTTGGGTTTGATCGCTGTGTGCAACACATTTTTCAGGAAGAGGAAATCTACAAGAGGATGATATGGGAAGAGAACATGAGATTCATTCAGAAGCACAATCAGGAGCACTCAATGGGCAAACACACATTTACAGTGGAGATCAACCAGTTTGGAGACTTGGTAGGTACCAGATTCTTGAGAATGTCAAACTGCTGCGAGTGTTGCGAGTCAATAAATGAGGTGTGATGTTCTTGCACTTGATGTTTGTTATTGATACTCGATTATATCAGTTTAACAGAGACGAGTCAAAACGCAAAATACTGCAGATGCTTCTATTCATCTTAGAATTAAACCAGTGCCCCTCCCTGAGGATGTGGAGTGGAGTCCTGTAGTACACTGTCTCGCAAGCGAGAGGACTCGGGTTTGATTCCCGGGCAGGTGAAACATTTGGCAAGTTTCCTTACTCCACACATCTCTGTTTACCTGCAGTAATTAGAAACCCTCCCTTCAGCTCCACATTCTCTGCCTCAGCTTTGGGGGCAAACTTTCAGACCCTCTCTGCAGCTCTTTTTTTAAATCTCTATGCCCTGCACCCTCACTCTCCACTATCATAAACTCTCATAAAACATACCCCTTTGACTGCTTCTTCATTGATCTCCCTCCCACCCTCTCCCTCCCCAATCCTCCACTCTATTTACGCCCCCACTTCATCTCGGTGACGCACTTTCAGGTTTTTAACTGTATGAAAGACTCTGTATAGGTGCAAGTTGTTGTTCCTTCTGAATATATGTTTGGTTATAGGCTGTGGGTTTGCTGTGAGTGTGACAGTCTGTTGATACAACTGTTCCTTGACTCCCCAGACCACTGAGGAATACAATCAGCTTCTGACTGCATTCCATGGACAGATACCTGATGATTGCAAAGAATTTAGACCACAGAACCCGACTGTGCTTCCTCAGACTGTTGATTGGCGAATTGAAGGCTTAGTTACTCCAGTGAAGAACCAGGTGAAAATGAGAGAGAACTGTATCTACCTTAAAACATAAGATCCCAAGTTGCCTTGGTCTTCCAAGCCATACTACACTTGTCATGTCTCAAATCATCACTGGAAGCTCTCCAGACTAGAATATAAGGACAGAGGTACTGCACTGAGCTTTGTGCAGACTTCACTGAAACAGCAGAAAGAGAACTTAACATTATCTTGATGTTTTTCAACACTAGGGTACCTGTAGATCATGCTGGGCGTTCAGTGCCACAGGAGCCCTCGAAGGGCAGATGTTTAAGAAAAAAGGAAAACTTGTTTCTCTGAGTGAACAGAATCTGATTGATTGTGATAAAACCCAAAAGGGTTGTCGAGGTGGATACCCTTTTCGTGCGTTTCAGTATGTTAAGAAACATGGTCTCAACTCAGAGAAAAATTATCGCTACATGGCAAAGGTAATATTTCTTTGAAATGTCTTTCACTCTTAAGGGAGTATTCTGAGTGTCTTTCTGCGATTTTAATCTTGGGACAGTTCTCTCCCGAAGTAACCAGGTGCTCAAGAGGAAGTTTGGAGTTTGGTTAGCTCAGTTTGTAACACTCTCGATGCAGGGTCAGAAATTATAGGTTCATACCCCACATTGGGACTTTGAATAGTCCACATAATCACATAATCTAAGATGACACTCCATTGCTGTGCTGGGGCTATGCCGCATTGTTGAAGACCTTCCTTTTCGACCATGACTACAGTCACTTTCCCCCCTCCCCCTGGCTTGGCATCGGGCTTCGCCACTGTCCAGCTTTCCGAGACTTCGGCCGACGTGAAGGGCGCTATGTAAATGCCAGTTGTTGTTGTTGTACTGTGGTAGTTTGGGAAAGATACAGGCAGTGTAGTGCAATGTGTACCCAGATCAGGCAGCCTCATTGAAGGGGGAATGAGTCACCAAGTCAATGGGTAAGACTAAAGATATTGCTACATCCATCTAGCATAAGATTGTAGATAATAATAATAATAATAATAATGACAATAATATAATAATAAAAATGTATCACATTTTTAATAATTTTATATGATGTCATTTTTATGTAAAGACTTATCAAGTTGTGAGATGGAAGAGTGGTTAAGGTGTTCCCCCCCCCCCCCCCCACACCACCCCCCCAATCCATGAATTTATTGTGAATTGAATGATTTCTATCGTGTTAGGATCAGGATTGTAAAGGTATAGAGAAGAAAGTTGCCACTTGCAAGGATTGCGGATTTATTCAGAAATCTGAACGACATTTAGCTGCAGCAGTGGCGAGCATTGGACCTATATCTATTTGTGTTGATGGATCTCACAAATCTTTCCAGTTTTACAAGAAAGGTAAGAAAGTGAAGCTGTCAATTACATACACTTCCAAAAAAATTGGTCACTCACCACTGCTGTGTGCATTTGGCTGCCGTGTTTCGCCCACAAAATATACAGTCAATTCGCTTAACAGCATATTCTGTGGAGTGCTTTGAGATGTCTCGAAGGCGTGATAAGGTGCTATATGAAACGCAAGCTTTGATTATTATTATTATACATAATAGAACATTTATAACCAGAAACATTCATTTCCAAGCTCTCTGCAAATCTATAATCCTTGCATTTGATACGGCACCTTATCACGTCGTTGAGACGTCTCAAAGCGCTTCACAAGATATACTGTAAAGTGGATCTAATTTCTAAATGAAAAGAAAATAATGCTAGAAATGTTAACAATTTAATTCTAACTAATCATTCTAAATCCATAGAGCATGGTCTTAATTAGCTGCACCATGTTCGATTAGTTAATCAAATATTCCACTCCACAATCTTCTGACATCTCTGATAATTAAGAACACATCAAAATGACTCAATAACATGCATAATATTTCTGTTTCCTACAGGTATCTATTATGAAAAAAACTGTTTAAAGCCAATCAACCATGCGATGCTGGTGGTTGGGTATGCGAGCAGAGCTAATAAAAACTATTGGATTGTTAAAAACAGGTAAATCTGACTAAGAGACACTAAAACCACACGAAACGAGTGATTGATTCAGTGTTTATTTTTGGTCGAAATCCTAATTTGTTAATAATCAGTTGTTTTTGGCCTGCGTTCACTGGGCAATGGTTTTCAGAGCAGGAGGTCAGTATCAAGGGAGTGCAAGGCAGGAGCTTTGGGTGAACAATGAATATGGGAACTGTGAGCGCACATACCTTTACGTTGCAAATGTGTGGTGCGTTGTGAAAGCCTTACGATGAATTAGAAGAGGGAGGAAGGGGGTTTGTTGAAGAGTTCAGGAGGAGATTGAAATATATTTTCACACAGAAGGTTTGCGAGAAGCTCCTAATCTGTAAATTGCAGCTCTATCCACTATGACAATGCAGCACTGCATTGGAGTGTCAGAACCGACTACAGTATACGGGTTCCATATAGTGGTTTGAATCCATCATTAAGGCTATCCCTAGAATTTTCAATTTTACAGGTTTTGTCACATCAAAAGGACTTCATATGTAAGAAGTGTCAAATGGAGTGAATATATTTGTTGGTAAACATGGAAGATATTGTGGTGCTGACAATCTCCCAAACACAGCCATGGGATGACAGACAAAAAAAATTGGAAGATTGTTGGCCAAAATATTGGTGGGAAACTCCCTTCTCTTATCAGATGGCACCCAAGTTTAATGTCTCATAGACCCATAGGAACTTGCCTCACTTACCAAATCATTTCTATACTGAAGCATATGAGTTTTAAGCCAAAATAACACAGTCCATCACATGGGAAATAAGGTGCTCCACAGAGAGTATTGGATGTGGTACAGGGAAACATGCAGAATACGAAATGGAACCTAAAATGGATAAATATGTTCTAAATATAATGTTTTGAAAAAAGATAGTTGTCTCTTTTGAACTGGATTTTTGGGCAGAAAAATGAAGTGTTTTTTCTTAGGGGTTTCGTTCTCATTCAACCTGAACTATGGGAGAAATTGTCTGGCGATATGTTCAAACAATCATTTCAAATATACCGGGGACAGGGACATGGTAAATATACAAATAGAAATTGGGAAGTATTTTCATGAAATTTAACCACCAGCTGGAAATGTTAGCAAAAAACAAGCTGGTCATCAGAACCTCGGAAATCTGCTGGAGGTTTCTTTCCAACTTTTTGTTTTTTCTTCACTCCCAATCAATTCTTCAAAAAAAACAATAATAAAATTGGTCACTTCAATCCACGGCTGTTTGTGGGACGCTGCTGTGCGCAATCGGCTGCCGCATTTTGCCCACAAATATACAGTCAATTCACTGTATAGTATATTCTGTGAAGTGCTTTGAGATGTCTTGAAGGAATGATAAGACACTATATCAATTGCAAGGATTATTATTATTTATTATATTATTATATTATTACCAGGGAAGTTAGTAGAGGCCAGGACACCAGACATGTTTATGAAGGTTTGGTTGAGTAAAGGACAGACAATGGGTTGGATACTCTTGAAGGAGGAGATCAAAAGGGCCACAGGACCTTCTTCATCTATACCTCTTTGTGAGGTGCACTAACAAACTATAATGTCTTATTTTTTATTTTAGTTATGGAACAACTTGGGGTGATGAAGGCTACATCTACATGGCTAAAGACAAGCGTAATAACTGTGCAATAGCCAATAATGCAACCTATCCTGTGGTGTAAAGAGTCCGAAGAGTCACCTGGAATTGGATCAAATGTTGCGCGGAGAAAACATAATGCTTCCGCTATGTAGCCGTCAGCTCTGCGCATCAATATAATGTTAAATTTGATTTAAAGGAAATGTGGTCAGCAAACTGTTACTCTATCATTGAGAAAAATGTCTAAGCGCATAGATGCAAAATGCGATATATCATCACAGACTGTGACAATCAGCACATCAAATCTGTTATGAAGCATCACATTTTCCACCACAATACAGTAGAACAGTTCTTATCCATGCATCGGATGACTGCATGCTTGCGTATCTGCAATGGGGCTGCTCTGCAGAAAGTGCTTGTGAAAGGACATGTCGACGTGCTGTTGTTATTTTAACATCATACTCTGCAAACAAAGCCGCTTTGGTTGCCCTGGTCGGAGCCCGTGGTTAACAAATCTTGTCCTTTTGATTTCTCCTTAAATCTCTTCGCAAAAAGGAAAGCCGTTTTACCCTCTGGAATCTGCACCACCCATTAAAGGAGAGTATTTCAGGGCAGGAGCCAACTACAACTCTGCTGAGTATTCTAAGTGCGTATTATTAAAAGAAAATATTTTTATGGATTCTTATTCTTTTATAATGAGTGTATGGCATTGTAACTCATTAAAATAATTGTAACGCTTACTTCGACACTGCTATTTCTTTCAATACATGAAAAAATGGGAGGCTTGACAATTTTAGTGATGGAACTCCTTAGTTTTTTTTTAAACATACGCACAAGAATTAGGATTGCTGGTGGCGTGTGGCTCTTAAAGCTCCTTCGTGACGGCATTTAAAAGGGAATTGGGTAGCTACTTGAAGAGAAATATTGGCGATGAGAATTAGAATGGATCACTCCGGGGGGGGGGGGGGGAAGGAGAGCAAATGTAAACTTTCTGATCGCATGATAATGCAAATGGATATAATATGCAAGGGTGAGGGTGGTTTCACATTCGACCAATTGCACAGTCTTGACTTGAGGCTAGTCTGCTCTTGCTTTGTGTTTGCATTTCATATCTACGTGCGTGAATTTCCAATTGGTGGTAAGCCACATGCTTTATTCTGTTCAGTGGCTCTCATTAAGGAGCTCACAGCTTTAAGATCCCATCAAGATCTAAGACGATGCTGTTAACAGATAACGATCAGTACGCAGTATATTTTAAAGATCAATTCGTAGTCTCAAAACACATCTCTCTGACCACATTTTCGGTCATCTTTCCCTTAACCCAGGGGTTTGGTGCCTACCCCCAGCTCGGGTCCACATCCAACATTGTCGAGCACTTTGAGACGTCCTCCTGACTTGAAAGCCTTTGGACAAATGTTAGTCATATTTCTCAGCCTGCGCCCTCTTGGTGACATCATCCGCAGACATGGCTTCAACTTCCATATGTATGCAGATGACACCCAACTCTACCTCTCTGTCTCCACCCTTGACTCCATGACCACCGCTGTCCTGACAGAATAACTGTCAGACATCAAGTCCTAGACGACAGGTAACATTCTTCGGTTGAACGTCAACATGCCCGAGGCTGTCCTTTGACTCTCAACTATCCTTTCTACCCCACAACTGCACGATGACCTGCTCTGCCTTCCCCCACCTCCGCATCGCCCAGCTCTGCCACTGTCTCGCACTGCAGGCCGCCAAACCCTCATACACGCTTCCATTACACCGAGGTTTGACTATACAAACTCACTGCTTGTCGGCCTCCCCAACTCCTCCCTCCACAGGCTGCAGATCATTCAGAACTCTGCAGCCTGTGTCCTCTCCCGCACCAGCCTCCGCGACCCTATCATCCCCATCCTTTCCCAACTCCACTGGCTTCCATCGAACAGAGGAAGCAAACAGTTCAAGATCCTGGTCCTCACCTTCAAAGCACTCCATGGTTTTGCTCCCCACTACCTCTCTGACCTCCTAACCCACTACCACCCTATTCGCTCCCTCCTCTCAGCAGGCTCCAGCTTTCTTCACGTCCCCCGCCTTGCTCGCCCCAACTATTGGTGGGGGGACCTTCCGCCAATCTGCTCCCACCCTCTGGAACTCCATCCCGCAGTACTTCCACCTCGCCCCTCCCTTGTCATCTTCAAGATCCATCTCAAGACCCTCCACTTCAACCATGTTTTCCCTACTTGCCCCCTGTCCTCCACCTGCCCTCACCCCGACCCCCAGCTCGGGGCCGTAACTCTTTCTGTCCAGTGCCTTGGGACGTCCTCCCGACGCGAAAGGCGCTTTACAACTGTAGTTTTGATGTTGTTGTACAGTCGGTTGTCATCCCAGTGTAAAGGGTCGGAGCGAGCACCCAGTCACCTTCCAGTAGCTGTAACAGGTGTGTGGGTTTCTCCTAAAACACTATTCAGGTACCAGAGGTAACCTCTATTGATCTATTTCACTTTTGGATGATAAAACAACTAATTTTGCTGTTGCAATTTGTGCAAACATAAGAAGTTTCAACAGTTTCTGTCTATATTACAGTTACTTTAAGGAGAAATCCTAAAAGTGCGAGTGACAATCTTTCAAAAGACACCTCATTTGCTAATGTTGAACATTTAGATTTTGTGTTTTTTTTTTGTTTTTATGTGAAACAAACCTGTATCAAACCTGTGAAGTTGATGTTCATATGCTGTACGTGGTCTAACCACAGTACGGTTCTTTGATACCTTCCAGAAAGCAAATAGTTATGATCGATGCTCTTCAAACAATGTTTAACTAACTCAGAGTCATGATGACTCACTTGCAGGATGATTGCATTTACTTGCAAACCAGCCTGCCAATCATATCACCAACGTGTTCCTGCGCAACGGCAAAAGTGGTATAAATTGACCACAGATATTGCAGTCGGACTCACTCTGATGCAGTGCTGTGTCCTGAGGAGAGGAACACTGGAAAGTAAGATTTCTTTTACATTATTTTAATAGAAATGCTCCCATTTCTGGCAGTACAGCTGTCGGCTTGGCTCAGTTGGTTGCAGTCTGGCCTCTGGGACATTAACAATAATAATAATAATCCTTGCATTTGATATAGATATATTCACAGAATATACTGTTCAGTGAATTGACTGTATATTTGTGGGCAAAAAACAGCAGACAATTGCACACAGCAGTGTTTAAACAGCCATGGATTGAAGTGACCAAATTATTATTGTTTTTTTCTTGAGGGATTATTATTCTCACCTTAACATAAGAAATGATAGACAAAAAAAGACAAAAAAGTCCATCTAATTCGCCTTCCAGCCTCCGCATATGTCCCAAACTCCCCATGTCCTGTATCCCATAATATTATTTCCTAAAAGAAAACTATCTAATCTGTGTTTGAAAGAATCAACGTTCTCTGCTTCCACCGTTTCCCTTGGGAGCCTTTTCCACGGGTTCACTATTCGCTCACTGAAATAGTGTTTGCATAGATTCGTAGCCTCTATAGATTCCTAGCTTTTTTTTTGCTAACATTTCCAGCTGGTGATTACGTTTCATGAAAATACTTCCCAATTCCTATTTGTATATTTACCATGTCCCTGTCCTGGTATATTTGAAATGATTGTTTGAACATATCGCCAGACAATTTCTCCCATAGTTCATGGTTGAGTGAGAGCGAAAACCCTAAGAAAAAACACTTCTTTTTTCTGCCCAAAAATCCAGTTCAAAAGAGACAACTATCTTTTTTCAAAACATTATATTTAGAACATATTTATCCATTTTAGGTTCCATTTCGTATCCTGCATGTTTCCCTGTACCACATCCAATACTCTCTGTAGAGCACCTTATTTCCCATGTGATGAATTGTGTTATTTCAGCTTAAAACTAATATTTTTCAGTATAGAAATGATTTGGTAAGTGAGGCAAGTTCCTATGGTTGTATGAGACATTAAACCTGGGTGCCATCTGATAAGAGAAAGGAGTTTCCCAACAATATTTTGGCCAACAATCTTTCAAATTCTTTTGTCTGTTACCCCATGACATTGTCAGCACCAAAATATTCTCCACGTTTACCAGCAAATATATTCACTCCATTTGACACTTCTTACATATGAAGCCCTTTTGATGTGACAAAACCTGTAAAATTGCAAATTCTAGGGATAGCCCTAATGATGGATTCAAGCCACTATATGGAACCCGTATACTGTAAGCCAAAGCACTCGGGTTTTGATTCCCGGATGGGACGAAATGTTACGCAAGTTTGCTTAATCCACATCCTCTGTTTACCTGCAGTAATTGAAAACACTCCATTCTGCTCCACAGGCAAACTTTCAGACCCTCTCCAGAGCCCTTTCCTTAAATCTCTATGCCCTGCACTCTCACTCTCCACTATCGTAAACTCTCATAAAACATACCCCTTTGATTGCCTCTTCATTGATCTCCCTCCCATCCTCTCCCTCCCCAATTTTCCACTCTATTCACTTCATCTCGGTGACGTACTTTCAGGTGTTTAACTGTATGAAAGACTGACTCGATGTAGGTGCAAGTTGTTGTTCCTTCTGATTACGTGTTTGGTTATCGGCTGTGGGTTTGCTGTGAGCGTGATAGTCTGTTGATACAACTGTTCCTTGACTCCCCAGACCACTGAGGAATACAATCAGCTTCTGACTGCATTCCATGGACAGATACCTGATGATTGCAAAGAATTTAGACCACAGAACCCGACTGTGCTTCCTCAGACTGTTGATTGGCGAATTGAAGGCTTAGTTACTCCAGTGAAGGACCAGGTGAAAATGAGAGAGAACTGTATCTACCTTAAAACATAGGATCCCAAGTTGCCTTGGTCTTCCAAGCCATACTACACTTGTCATGTCTCAAATCATCACTGGAAGCTCTCCAGACTAGAATATAAGGACAGAGGTACTGCACTGAGCTTTGTGCAGACTTCACTGAAACAGCAGAAAGAGAACTTAACATTGTCTTGATGTTTTTCAACACTAGGGTACCTGTCAGTCATGCTGGGCGTTCAGTGCCACAGGAGCCCTTGAAGGGCAAATGTTTAAGATAAAAGGAAAATGTGTTTCTCTGAGTGAACAGAACCTGATTGATTGTGATGATAAGCAAAAGGGTTGTAAAGGTGAATGCCCTTTTTCTACGTTTCACCATCAACCTTTTCAGTACCTTCTCTCAGTTCATTCTTATCTTATCCAATTTTCCTTTCCTCTCCTCCAATGCTGTGGCATTGGGTGCATTCTCTTCTTTTGTGAAGACAAATGCAAAGTACTCATTCAGTTCGTCAGCCATGTACTCTGACTCCACAAGAAGATTTCCTCTTTGGTCCCTAATTGGACCCACCCTACCTTTGACTCACCTTTTATTCATTGTATGCTTATAAAATACCTTAGGGTTCCCTTTCATGGTACTCGCTAATCTTTTCTCATACAGTCTCTTTGCCCCTCTTATTCCTTTTTCAGTTCTCCTCTGTATTTTCTATATTCTATTTGATTATCCTCAGTATTTTGGACCTGACATTTATTATAAATCTCCTTTTTCTATTTTATTTTAATCCCAATTTCTTTAGTCATCCAGTGAGGTTTGGATGCCCTACCTTTCCCCTTTGTGGGAATGTATTTGTTTAGTCCCTGAACTATCTCCTCCTTAAAGGCTTCCCATTGCTGGTTAGCTGTTTTTCCTGCCAGTCTTTCTTCCAATCTATCGTTGGCTAGGTCCCTTTTTATTCACTGAAATTAGTCCTCTTCACTTGAGTATCTTCACCTTTGATTGCTCCTTGTCCCTTTCCGTAAGTACTCTAAACCTAATGATGTTGTGATCATTGTTATCCAGATGCTCTCCTACTGAAACCTGCTCCACTTGCCCCACTTCATTCCCCAGAACTAGATCCAGCACTGCTTCCTTCCTCATTGGGCTGGAAACATATTGATCCAGAAAGTCATCCTGCACACATTTCAGGAATCCTTCCCCCTCCTTGCCCTTTACACTATTATTTTGCCAGTCTATGTGAGAATAATCAAAGTCCCCCATTATCACTACCATTTCTCCAGCCATTCATGTGTTTGATCCCATTATTTTGATGCTCACTTGCACGAGGCACTGGGAGTAATCCAGAAATCACCACCTTTGAGGTCCTACACTTTAGCTTTTTCCCTAGTTTCTGATACTCTCCCTGTAGGATCTCAGCCCTTTTTTTCCTTACATCATGGATCTCAATATAGACCACAACTTCTGGATGTTCCCCTTCCCCCTGTAGAATGTTTTGTATCTGTTCCATGATGCCTTAATCCTGACACTAGGGAAGCAACATACCGTGCAAGAGTCACATCTTTGCAAAAACACCTGTCTACTCCTTTCACCATTGTGTCCCCAATGATAATTGCATTGACTCTTTTCCCTGTATCCACCCTGTGCATCCATTTGCTTTTGACTCCTCTCCCGAGAGGTGTCATCACCCTGACCGGGGTTCAGTACAGAGAACTGGTTTGTGAATGCCACAGTCTCATGGGATTTCTGCACTGCCCGTCCCCTCTTCCAACCGTGTGGGTGGTCACCCACTCACTCTCCTCCTGAACCCACTGTGGCTGTGGGGTGACCACCCCCTGAAACATTTAATCCATGAACTCTTCAGCCTCCTGTGTGCTATGTAGTGACACCAGCTTCTTCTCGAGCTCAGAAACCCTGAGCTTACGCTCGAGCAGTTGGAGGCACTTGCTACAAAAGTGTTTGTCAATAACACACAAAGCATCCTGGAGATCCCACATGGCACACATTGTGCATGCAACATGTCTCAGCTGCCCTGCCATATTCCCAGACATGTTTTATATCATTTTATCATTTTAATATAAAAATTAGATATTTTGTAATTATGCACCTCTTTCCTCCTCTGCACCGAATTCCCACTCTCACCAAATTCCTGCACAGAATTCCCACTCTGTTCAGTCCACACTTAGGTACTTCCTCGCTCTGATGTGCTCTCTGCTCAAGAGCAGAGAAATTATATATATATATTTTAGCTTTGCGAGGTTTTATCCTTCACCTTTGATTTCTTTTTTAGTTTATTTTTCCCTTATTCTATTTTGCCCATAACAATCTCAGGGTAAATAGGTAAGCAAGTAATTTAGCACCTTTTGTCCCTTGCTCACACTTCTTAATAATTAACAAAAACAGAAGCCGCTGGGAACACTCAACAGGTCAGGCAGCAAATGCATGGACCCGAAAGGTTGACTCACTTTCCTTTCTCGGTAGATACTGCCTGACCCGCTGAGTGTTCCCATCGACTTCTGTTTTTGTTTCAAATTTCCAGGATTTGCAGTATTTTGCGTTTTCCTTAATACCTAACACCTACTTCCCCAGCAATGTTAACATTAGTTTAGGCACCTCTGTGTCCATTCCAACCAGTGTAAATATGTAAACAATTTATTTAGCACCTTTCAATCCTTGCTCACACTCGTTAATACTTAACACCCGCTTTACACCTACTTCCCCAAGAATGTACATGAGGAAAAAAAGTTCTCACCTGCACCTCCTTCCCATTCTCCCCAAATTCCTTAATGAAAATCTCACTCAGTTCCCTCCTCACTCTGCTGGGCTCGCTGCTCGACTTCTAACCACAGTACGGTTCTTTCATACCTTCCAGAAAGCAAATGGTTATGATCGATACTCTTCAAACAATGTTTAACTAACTCAGAGTCATGATGACTCACTTGCAGGATGATTGCATTTACTTGCAAACCAGCCTGCCAATCATATCACCAACGTGTTCCTGCGCAGCGGCAAACGTAGTATAAATTGATCACAGATATTGCAGTCGGACTCACTCTGACGCAGTGCTGTGTTCTGAGGAGAGGAACACTGGAAAGTAAGATTTCTTTTATATTATTTTAATAGAAATGCTCCCATTTCTGGCAGTACAGCTGTCGGCTTGGCTCAGTTGGTTGCACTCTGGCCTCTGGGACATTAACATAAGAACATAAGAAATGCTAGACGATAAAAGACCAAAGTCCATCTAGTTCGCCTTCCACCCTCTTGGCGGTCGTTTGCGCATACGTCCCAAACTCCCCATGTCCTGTATCCCATAATGTTATTTCCGAAAAGAAAACTATCTAATCTGTGTTTGAAAGAATCAACACTTCCTGCTTCAACCATTTCACTCGGGAGCCTGTTCCACAGGTTCACTATTCGCTCACTGAAATAGTGTTTACGTAGATTCCTTCTGAATTTACCCACTTCGATCGCAGGCCGTGTCCTCTGGTTCTACTATCCTGGACAAGTTGAAACAGTCTGTCATGATCTATGTTGTTTACCTCCTTAAAAATCTTAAAGACATTGAACTCTTGAGGTTCTAGTCTAGGCTGACACTCTAGTGCATTGCTGGGGAAGCACTACATTGTCTGATGTACTGCCGTTTGGATGGTACATTAATCTGACTTCCCACCTGCCTGTTCTTCAGGTAAATGTTAAAAGATACAATGACACAAGTCAAAAAACAGAGATGGGAGGGGGGCTCCTTCTCCTGCCCTCTGGCTTCATTGATCAATCGCCTCATGGGTTACTGTAGGATCTTACTGGTTGCATTTAACTGCAAGAACAGTCATTACATTTAGCAGGAATGACTAAAAGGTGCTTTCAGATGTTTCGATCGGTTTCAAGCGATATAAAGTTCTGTGTTCCTCCTTTCTGCGTCCCTTGTCTCATCCTTTTTGCAGCCTCTCCCTTATTTAAGCGAGTATAAGCTATGAATCTCGATCTTAATACACAGAAGGTAAGAAAACTGTTTCTGGAGTAACCTCTGTGGCCGTTTGCTGATTATGTTGGGTGTATATTGTCTTCTTCTATCAGATAATCCAGATGAAGCTCTCTCTGATTGTGAGCTATGTGTTGCTGGTCGTAACCATGGCCTTGCCGCTTGATCCAGCGTTAGACGATGAATGGCTGTCCTGGAAATCCTTTCATGGGAAGCATTACATGGAGGTAAGAGGCAAAACTTGAATATAAACCTTCAGCTCATTGATCTGTCACATTTTCCTAGAGATAAGACGCCTTATGAAAGTGAAAAAGAATTAGAAAAAGAGACAATTGTTTTAAACGTACAGTCATAGCATTTGATTACAGTAAAACTCGCATAATTCCAATCTGGCATAAATCATATAATTGCCTAAGCCGTACATCTGCCCAAGTCTCACTCCTAGTACATCTTCCTAAGTCTCTCTCTTCCCAACTGATACAACTTATGTGAGGTTTATGTAGTGTAAGTTACACTTGAGCAATAGGGTCTAATTTGTGACATTTATAATTCTGAATACCTCTACATTATACTACAACAACAACAAGATTACATTTGTATAGTGCCTTTCACGTCGGGAGGATGTCCCAAGGCACTTTATACCTCTAAAAAGCACCCTATTTCTGGGAACTAGGTCCTTGGGAATAGTCTTGGGAAACGCAAGAATTATTGTACAATACTTAACATCCTAAACCTGGATTTTGAAGGGAGATGGTCCTGTCCATTGTACATCTACAGTGATAGAGTTTGAGTTTGATCGCTGTGTGCAACACATTTTTCAGGAAGAGGAAATCTACAAGAGGATGATATGGGAAGATAACATGAGATTCATTCAGAAGCACAATCAGGAGCACTCAATGGGCAAACACACATTTACAGTGGACATCAACCAGTTTGGAGACTTGGTAGGTACCAGATTCTTGAGAATGTCAAACTGCTGCGAGTGTTGCGAGTCAATAAATGAGGTGTGATGTTCTTGCACTTGATGTTTGTTATTGATACTCGATTATATCAGTTTAACAGAGACGAGTCAAAACGCAAAATACTGCAGATGCTTCTATTCATCTTAGAATTAAACCAGTGCCCCTCCCTGAGGATGTGGAGTGGAGTCCTGTAGTACACTGTCTCGCAAGCGAGAGGACTCGGGTTTGATTCCCGGGCAGGTGAAACATTTGGCAAGTTTCCTTACTCCACACATCTCTGTTTACCTGCAGTAATTAGAAACCCTCCCTTCAGCTCCACATTCTCTGCCTCAGCTTTGGGGGCAAACTTTCAGACTCTCTCTGGAGCTCTTTTCTTAAATCTCTATGCCCTGAACCCTCACTCTCCACTATCATAAACTCTCATAAAACATACCCCTTTGACTGCTTCTTCATTGATCTCCCTCCCACCCTCTCCCTCCCCAATCCTCCATTCTATTTACGCCCCCACTTCATCTCGGTGACGCACTTTCAGGTTTTTAACTGTATGAAAGACTCTGTATAGGTGCAAGTTGTTGTTCCTTCTGAATATATGTTTGGTTATAGGCTGTGGGTTTGCTGTGAGTGTGACAGTCTGTTGATACAACTGTTCCTTGACTCCCCAGACCACTGAGGAATACAATCAGCTTCTGACTGCAAACCATGGACTGATACCTGATGATTACGAAATGATTGGAGTACAGAACCTGACTGCACTTAATGAGACTGTTCAATGATGAATTGAAGGCTTAGTTACTCCAGTACAAGACCCGGTGAAAACGAAAGAGAAGTGTTGCCATTCTGTGCCTTGCTGTCCTGCTGTAGTAGTTTATCTAAGTGTCAAAATTCTGTGCTTTACTACTGTAATATTGCTAATGGAATTTGGAGAGACAATTTAATCATAAAGTACTGTTGTGTATAAAAATCTGTTTGGGGAGGGAGCTTGGCTTTAGACCAGCATATTGTTGCTGTAATGCCAATAGGGGACGAATTCGAGAAACCAAATGTGTAAAGAGTAAAAGGAAATGTTTCCCACCTACACGATAATAACTGTTAGAACAAGAATAAAAGTGATTGTTATTTTAAACACCGTAACTTGATTACTCAGATTTCCTGTGCGCAATTGAGGGAGAACTTAACATTGTCAATACCGGGGCAACTGTAGCTTGTGCTGGGCAATCAGAACCACAGGAGCTCTCGAGGGGCAGATGTTTATGAAAGATGGAAAACTCCCCCAGCATTGCAATGGATTGTCATCCTAGAGTACGGGGTAAAAGTTCTGACCTGGTGCTTCAACCCATTGTTTGACTTTGAGGCAAGAGTGACATCTACTGAGGAAAGCTAACACCTTATCATGGAGGGGATGTCTGGTTTTGCACTGAAGCCTTGAGTCATTCCTCCCACAGAAAGACAATATTGTGGCTTCTGGTACATAGAGCCAAGTGAAGCGTACTGTAACCATGAAACGGAACAATTCTGTACATGTTTGACTTGACAAAACTTTCAGTCGATTAAACCCTTGTCACAGGCTTTTATGGTTATTGCCGCTCAACCTACGTGAGCTAGCAAGGGCGTGATTGGAATTCTATAATGATAATGATCCTAGCATTTGATATAGTGCCTTATCACGTCTTTGAGACATCTCAAAGCGCTTCATAGGATAGATTGTAAAGTGAGTTGACTGTATGCTTTGTGGGCGAAACACGGCAGCCAATTGCGCACAGCAGTGTCCCACAAACAGTCGTAGATTCAGTGTCTAAGTTACTACCTATTACCTTTAAATGTGCTTATCAATTTCGAAACTGCTCTGTTTAGTCAGAGGATTATATAGTGTTTTTGTGTAGAAGTTGTGCCACAGGCATGCCTGTTCTGTGTGTGATTACTATTGGATCATTTGCAGGTAAGTTTGTTGAAAAGCTGTTGGACGTAATTTGTTTTAGTAACTATATTTCTTTCAATGAATGAATTACTAGGTGCAAGAATGAGAAAAAATGATTTTGCAAACAATGAATTAAAAAATATCCATTGTAAAAATAATTTTGCATCCAACACAACGTGTCAAAACAGCTCCGTGATTCACAAGAGGTTTCTGCAAAGTGTTTGTTGTCCTCCAAAAAAAAGTTACTACACTCTACAGTAAATCTCGTGAAGCATTTTGACACATGCGCCCGCTATAAAGGCATCGTAACAAATGGTGACTTACAAGTTTGTAAAATATACTGGGTGAAGAATCGAACATCCACAGCCTTTTGGGGGCGAGAGTTCCAGTAACATGAGTATGTGAGTTTTGTAATCCCGAGGGAAACTGCTTCTCATTCTGGGCATTCAGTGCGACAGGAGCACTCGAAGGGCAATTATTTAAGAAAACAGGGAAACTGATTCCCCTCAGTGAACAGAACCTGATTGATTGTGACGAAAATAGCGGAGGCTGTGAAGGCGGATTTGTTATGAACGCCTTTGCGTACGTTCAGAAATTTGGACTCAACACAGAGAAGGCGTATCCCTACAAAGGAAAGGAAACTTTTTCTCAAATGTCTTCTAAATGATCCTTGAATTTCTTGTAACAACAACAACTTGCATTTACACAGCGCTCCCTCACGCAGGTGGTAGCGTCCCAGAGCTCTCGACAGCGGCGGAGGGGAGGTGACCGTAGGCATGGTTGAAGAGGAAGGTCTTCAGACGCGAACTGAGGATGGGGGAGGAAGAGGGCGAGGCGGAGGGATAGAGGAAGAGTGTTTCAGGGTTTTGCGGCGTAGCGGCTGAAAGCGCGGCCACCGATGGTGGTACAGAAGGCACGAGGGAGAAGCAGGAGGCTGGAGCCAGTCGAGCGGAGGCAGCGGGTAGTGAGTTGGGCAGTAAGCAGGTCGGAAGTGCCAGGGCATAAAGGGATTTGAAAATGAGTGTGAGGATCTTGAACACCTTTAACATCAGGAGGATGTCTCAAAGCCCTTTGCAGGACGTGTTGCAAACGGGTCTCTCATGTGCCATGAATTTGTTTTGGGTATCTGGCTGAGGTTGTTGTCTTTTTGCTGTAGTGGTAAACACAGCGCTGTTCTGTAGGATGTTTCAAGTATCTGTATGGCTCAGCCAGTTGGGTTGAAGCTGTGCCTTTGAATTTAATGTAACTCAAATGGCTTCTTTGGAGGGATTAATAATAATCCCTCCAAAACCAAAAATAATAATAAATTGGTCATTTTCAATCTACGACTGTTTGTGGGACATTGCTGTGCGCAATTGGCTGCCGCGTTCGCCCCCAAATATATAGTCAATTCACTTTACAGTGTGTTCTGTGAAGCGCTTTGGGACATCCTCCTGATGTGAAAAGCGCTATATCAAATGCAAGGATTATTATTATTATTATTCTTTGTGTTCTTTTAGAAAAGGAAATGTTCGGTGAAAAGAAACCATGAGCATGGCACTTGCAAGGGATGCAGGGGCATTCCCTACAGTTCCGAAACTGCTTTAACTGCAAATGTGGACAAAATTGGACCAATATTTGTCAGTGTAGATGGAAGTCAACATTCCTTCCAGTTTTACAAGAATGGTAAGAAACCGTGACACTATCATGGAATGGAGGTGGAGGAGAGACTGGATAAAGTTGGATGCCCATAGGCTGCCACTTGAACCATCCCATCTAAGCAAATAGTCGGTTTTGGTCAAAATCTCAGCTGTTGTAAAACAATTTTCTGACCTGCGTTCACTGCAAAGAGGCAAAGGTTTCACAGTAAGAGGTTAGTATCAGAATCTGACTATCTGCGACCCAATGCAGCAATACGGCAGGAGAAACATCAGGAAGTATTTCCTTCCATGGAGGGGAGTTACTGACTGGAACAGGCTAACCAGGAGAGGTGGTTGATCCGCATACACTGTATGCGCATAAGAAACAGCTCCTAGTGTGTAGCACAGACACAGGCAATGTGTCTATGTAACGAGAATGATTACATAACTAGCTGCAGTTAATCCCCCGAGTTTTGTTCATTGAGTCTGAAAGGCATGAAATTGCACTTGGTCACAGTCTTTGTATTAAAATGTAAGATACACAGGTTCGGGGAGAATTGTCAGATTCTGTCTTAATTTTTAAGCTGTTTTTCAGAAGTCCAGCCTCCAAATTAAAACTGATTTGAAGAATGTTTTACAATTCTGCATTGTAATGTGAAGATGATGTGGGTGGATGATATGGAAGGAGATTAAATTGGCCTCATCTGCATTTGTTTTGTGATATCAACTGATGGGAAATTATAATGTAATCTGTTTTACCTTAGTTATGGACCAATGTGGGGGACTGAAGAATACATCTACATAGCTAAGGTCATGGGTAATAACTGTGGGATAGCCACTAGAGAAATCTATCCTGTGGTGTAAAGAGTCCAAAGAGTCACCTGGCATTGGATCAAATGTTGCACAGAGAAAACATAATGCTTCCGCAATGCAACCGCCAGCATCATTTCGATGTTAAATTTGATTTAAAGGAAATGTGGCTAGCAAACTGTTACAATACTTTTTCCTGTCAATTTAGCCCCTCAAGCCTATCATTTGAGAAAAGCAACACTGAAGCGCATGAGATGAAAAATTAGATAATTGATTCTGACAATTAGCACATCGGATCTGTGATGAAACATCGCATTTTTCACCACAATACAGTAGGAACGCCGCTTATCCACACACCAGGGGACTGCATGCCAGCTTATCTGCATTGATGCGGAAATCAATGCTGCTGAAATAATGCTGAAAATGCTTAGCTACGAGCAGACTTACAGCGTAGTCAGATTCGCAATCTTACAAGAAAGCAATTGCCAGCTAACAATGGAACGTAGAGGGGTCTGATACACGGAAACACTTGGATAGAGAGAGAGAGAGAGAGAGACCATTGGAAAAGCATGGAGGGAGACAGACAGAGCAAAAGAGATGATATAATTCCTAATGGAAGATTTGGGGTATTACTGTGCATGTATTTTATGTGACATCCTGACATCCACACTGCCTTTATATCCACAAAGGGGCTGACCCCAATTACAGAGTACTGTATTCCAATAAATTGCAATAAAACTCAAACCCATTCTTCATTTTATGCATGAAGCACAATAATAATGATATTTTTAGTGAATGCAACGTGTAGCACAGATACAGACAATGTGTCTATGGAACAAGAATGACAAGCAATACAATAAAATCTTCCTGCTGTTAATCCCCGAGTCTTGTTTGTTACGTCTGAAAGACCTGAAATTCCTAGAGTCATAGCCTATCCATTAAAATTTAAGATGTATGGGATTGGTGAAAACTCCCAAATTGAGTCTGGATTTTGAAGCTGTTCGCAGTTTTTAAAAAGAATCCAGGCTCCAAATTAAGACTGACTTGAAGCATATTTCACAATTCTATGTAATCTGAAATTTGAAGGCAAAATAGTCTTATTAATAATAATAATAATCCTTGCATTTCTTGCAGCGCCTTATCATGTCGTTCAGACATCTCAGAGCGCTTCACAGAATATAACGTAAAGTGGATTGACTGTAGTTTTGTGGGTGAAATCCAGCAGCCAGTTTGCGCACAACAATGTCCCACAAACAGCCTTACAGGCTAAGAGTGGGAGGAACTTTCAAGTCTGAAATCCATTAAGCAGAGCCGACCTTGGTTTAACATCTCATCCGAAGGCCGACACCTCGAACAACACCTCCCCAAGGCTCGAGTGTCACCCTAGAGACTAACTTAAAATCCCAATGTGGGGCTTGAACCCACAGCCCTCTGATTCAGAAGCGAGAGTGCTCCCCACTGAGCCCGGCTGACAACTGATGCTGGTTGACATTGGTTGGGCAAATTTGCCATTCCCTTGTCTTGGTGAGAAAATTATTCCGACAAAAAACTATAGCTCATCCACCTCTTTAACATGTACCAGTTAGTTTGCCTACAGAGGCACCAACAACGCCATCAATAACACTTAATGAAAGACGGACAGATTTCCTGGGCTGATGATTTTTTAAACGAGCAACAATTTGCATTTGTACAGTGCCCTTCAGGAGGAGCAGCATCTCAGAGAGCTTAATAATGGGGTCTTTTGGGACGATGGGGAGATAACTGTAGACATGGCCGAAGAGGAAAGTGTTTAGGTGTGATCTGAAGATGGGCAAAGAGAAGGCGGAGGGATTAAGGCGGGGAGTTTTGAGGCAAGGTGGCTGAAAGCATGGCTGCCGATGGTGGAGTGAAGGCCTGGGCCGGCTGAGTGAGTGGCATGGATAGAGGAGTAGGGTGTGAGCAGGTCAGAGAGGTAGGGAGGTGCCAGGGCAGGAGGTAGTTTGTAGGCAAGTGTGTGGATCCTGAAATTGATCCATTCTGTGACAGGGATCCCAAAAAATACGAATTATTTTGAGTCGGTTGAAAGTTCTATTCCGTATGACACTTTGTGACTCACACTAAATTCCGTGCTCCCATCACACCAGGCCTCGCCAGGCTCCACTGGCTCACTATCCTGGCAGCTCCCTTGCCTTTCTGAGCTGCTTTCTCCTCACTCCGCTATTTCCCCACGCCTCTGCTCGCCTGGCTCTGGCCTCCTGCTTGTCCCTGGTCCCCTCCGCTCCACCATAAGCAGCCGCGCTTTCAGCCACTGCGTCCCGAAGCTTTGGAACTCTCTCCCCCAATCCGTCTGCCTTGCCTCCCCCCTCCTTCCCCTCTTTTAGAAAGAGAATATTGCTTAGCTTGTCAAACAGGACTCTGCAAAACTGCTGCTTGTTCACTTGACACACAGCCTTGTTCAGTTTGCTTAATTTTGTTTAGTAGGAAAAATGTGGTCGCTCAATCCAAGACTGTCTATGGGACACTGCTGTGCGCAATTGGCTGCCACGTTTCGCCCACAAAATGCACAGTCAATCCCTTTTACAATCTATTCTGTGAAGCGCTTTGCGTCATCTCAATAACGCGATAAGGCGCTATCTCAAATGCAAGGATTGTTATTATTTTATTGTAGTTCAAACACGATGATTGTGGAGTAGGTGACGTTTACGCGTTTGTTAAGAGTCTGACGTTCCAATAGTTGGCTAATAAACAAACTGACGGGGGTTTTCATCTGTAACCAGATATATTGATGCCTCTGTTGAACTTACATTACCTGATTACACAGTGAAAAACATATTACTGAGCAGTAGTTATCGAAGCGCAGACAGGACTCATTTAACAAGCAGCTTGACGCTGTGATAGGGAAGATGATAGGATGTATGTTCTGAGATCAGATGGGCCAAAGAAGCTTCTTCATCCAAACCAATCTTGTGATCTTGCGATTGGCGTGAGGACTGACCAAACTTAGCCACAGAAAGGTTTGCTCTCACACTGCAAAACACCCAGTCACAAAAATCCTCCAAATAAAATTGGTCACTCACTCCTTGGCTGTTTGTGAGACACTGCTGTGTGCAATTGGCTGCCACGTTTCGCCCACAAAACAACGTGATATGTCGCTATTTCAAATGCAACGATTATTATTATTATTCCTATGAAATTCTATCTCTTTGAACACGTGTGTCTCTCCTCCTCACCCGTCGCTTGTTCGGTGTCCAAATCTGTCCCAGTGAAATGTTTACAGGGAGGAAGGGAGGGAAGGGTGGAATAGCTTTCCTCTGGCACTTCCTCTAGAGCCGAGGAAGGCTCTTTGAACTGACCAGCACAGTGTTCAACCCAGACGAACAGTGCGGACTGAGCAACCAGAGCATTGAAACTCTGGGGATTGAAACTCAACTGATTTACCAATGTAGCCCAGCAGCAACAACAACAAGAAGTTACATTTACACAGCGCCTTTCACGTCAGGAGGACGTCTGAAAGCGCTGGACAGTCAGGGATTTGGACCAGAGCAGGGGGTTGGGATCAGGAGGGATGGAGGGCAGAGAGGGTAAGGGTAGGAGGTTTGCCTTGTTTATTGCTGTGAAAGGCGCTATACAAATGTAATTTGTTCTTGTTGTTGAAAGGCACTGCTTCGATATAGTGAGCGATAATAACTTGAGTCAACAGGAACTCTAAGATTTCTATCAGCCTGTCGCCATCCAGTGGCCACTTTATCATTGTCTTTTACAGTTTGTTGGGCAGTTTTGTTACCACAATACAGGTATGGATGACAAAGAACCTTTATGCATCGTAGGATACTGAATTCCTCTGTAACTGCTTACGTCTTGTTTCTCCATACAGAGCGCTAGTCTCGCAAGCGAGAGGACCTGGGTTCGATTCCCGGGCGGGACAAAAGTGTAGGGAAGATTCCTTACTCCACACGCCACTGTTTACCGAGCAGTAAGTAGGAACCTAGCTGTTAGTCGATTGGAGGATCACTTTCCTGGGGTAATAATCCCCTTCAAAAAACTAATAAATAATCCACGACTGTTTGTGGGACACTGTGTGCGCAATTGGCTGCTGCGTTTCGAACTCCGAATATACAGTCCATCCACTTTACAGTATATCCTGTGATGCGATTTGAGACGTCACAATGATGTGATAAGGCGCTATATCAAATGCAAGGATTATTATTACATTATTATAAGTAATAATTATATAAATAATAATAATCCTTGCATTTAATATAGTGCCTTATCAAGACATCTCAAAGTGCTTCACAAAATATACTGTAGAGTGGTGTGACTGTGTATTTCGTGGGCGAAACTTGGCAGCTAATTTTGCATACAGCAATGACCCACAGACAATCATGGAGTGAGTGACCAATTGTATTTGGGGGATTGTTGGCCCGGACACTGGGAGACAGAAACTCCCTTCTCATTTCGAAATGCGCCATGGGATTTTTAACGTCCACCTGAATAGGCAAAAAGGTCCTCAGTTTAGCATCTCATCCAAAGGATGGCACCACCGACAACGCAATCCAGCATTGCATTGCAGTGTCAGCTTGGACTGCGTTCTCAAAATCTCAACACGGGTCTTGAACCCCCAATTATCTGATTCAGGGGCAAGAGGGCTGCGAACTGAGCCAGGCTGGACTGTTACGTAATTAATATATTTTATATAAAATATAAAAACAAATAAATAATAATACATAATAAATAAAGTAAATAATGTTTCGCCCACAAAATACATAGCCAATTCACTTTACAATATGTTCCGTGAGGCGCTTTGAGCCGCCTCAAGGACGCGATAAGGTGCTGAGGTGCTTTTTCTAACGCAAGGGCCCATTTACGCTGTTTATTCGTCAAGGGCTTTCGAAACCGTGTGAGTCAGGATGTGAAAATGTGTGACACACAAGCTTCCATGGTAAGAAGCAAGAGTGTCTAACAAGGCTAAGGTTCCACTGAATAACTGAATAACTGAATAACTGAATAACGTCAAGCATGCAAAACATAGTGTGCACCAGATGTGGTGACCGTGGGTCTAAAACAGAACAGGACCACTTATTAAGCAACCTTTGCAATGTGGATTGTGTGTTTCTGTTGCTCAGTGCATCAGTCATTTGTGTTGCAACTTTGCAAATAGTAAGGACATATGGAGCAACCTTCTGTGGTCAACAAGCTGAGATGCTATGTTAAACCGTAAGTGCTATGTAAGGTTGTTGCTGACTCATAAAAGTCCCTACAAATATACATATATATATATAGTCTACATGGTCCGCCCAAAGAATAGAACAGCTCTTTAAACCATTCTTAATCAATTTGTCTGTGAGTTATTGTGCTCATTAATCTTAAACTTATATTGGGTGGAATGGCAACAGGGTGCAGACAAACATAAACAACAACAACAAGATTCCATTTATAGAGCGCCTTTCACGTCGGGAGGACGTCCCAAGGCGCTGACAAAGGCAAATAATAATAATAATAATAATCCTTGCATTTGATATAGCGCCTTATCACATCTTCGAGACGTTTCGAAATGCTTCACAGAATATACTGTAGGGTGAATTGACAGTATTTTTGTGGGCAAAACGCGGCAGCCAATTGCACACAGCAGTATCCCACAAACAGTCGTGGATCGAGACTAATCCTGAGGGGAGTAAGGGTAGTTAGGAAGGTCTCCTTGAAGTTGAAGTCAAGGTGACATACTTGGCATTGGAATATCGGAATCGAGCCAACCCTCTGTGACGGTCTCTGCTGTCCAGTTCCTGAACTGATGACACTACTGATGACAGCCCAGTCCAGCCTGGCTCATCGGCAGGACCTGGACAGGTAGAGCAGTCACTGGGGTCAGGGAATCATTCCACTCAACTCTTGTTAACCCCGCAAACCAAAGCCCTAACAGGTAGGGGGTCCAGAAAAGCTTGCCAGAAAAAAAAATTGGTACTAGAGTTGTTGCAATAGTTGCAGCAAATATCGACCTGAAGCCAGCGCCTTGGGACATCCTCCTGACCTGAAAGCAGGAATGTGTCTGTCCTGCTGGGATCACCCAGTCCATTCGGGCATTGACAAGCAATGTGTTTCAACTTTTCATATCAGGGGATCTTCTTAAAATGTGACACGTTGCAAATGTTAGCCTGTCAGTCACTCAATCTGAAGACATTTCTGATATGGACTGTCTAAGGGGGAGTGTTGTTCGGAAACACTGTCATAGCAAATCTACTTGCAAACCTCGACTGATATTAATATTCATGCCTCACAACTTGTTGAGTTACACAAGGAATGATTTATTGGGAAAAAAATTATTGAGTAATTTACAGCCTTAGAATTTAGCCAGACTGACTACTTTATACCAGTGTTAGACACCCCCTGAGTCCACAACACTCATAATGATTATTTACAGTATCTTTTCATAGAGATTCTTTGAGATAAACTTTACTGATTGCTGTGTGTTGGCCAGAAACATTGCTTTGAAACGGATTTAGTTGAAGGCAAAGCGCAGCCTATGTATTCTGGCCGAAATGACTGAATGATGATATTTTTGCCTGTTTGGATTGTTGCACACTGACCGGACGAGGCTGACAACACAAAGGCCTCTGCTAACTTAACGGCGGTTATACATCTGGGTCTGACTTGCGATATTCACAAACGGGATTTGTTGGTTTAATTGTGACTTCCGGTTTGCGAATATCGGATTGCGAAATTTGTGGCTGGCAAGTTGTAAATCCAAAGCCCAGAGAATGGGATGGGAGCAAAGACAAGTTATTAGAGTTGAGGTGTAGATCAGCCATGATCTAATAGAATGGCAGATCAGGCTCGGGGGGCTGAATGGCCTTCCTCTGTTCCTATGGGAAAGCCTGGCAAGGAAAAGACTGACTGAACAGATTTGATGGGCAATATACACATTTCCGACTTGCACCGCAATAGCTTCCTTGTATTATCGGTGGCTGAAGTGGTTTGCAACCATGGGTCCACAGTTGGACCTTCTGCCATTTGGCGGCAATATCTTTACATCAGTGGATAAACAGCATCTGAGGCGATACCACAGAGATTACCCACATCCTTGGCCATGAGCATGTAGCCAGCTTGCCCCCAGTGCTCACCCCAGCTGGAGAGGAAACAAGCTTGAATTAATTTTACAGCGTTTATAATAATGACAATAATAATGATAATTATAACCCTTGATACAGCGCCTTTCACGTCAGGAGGACGTCTCTAAGAATTTTGCTGGATATACTGCTAAGTGTCATGACTGTATTTTGTAGTCCAACACAGCAGTTAACCTCTACCCCAATGTTCTGGTTTCCGCTGTCAGGTTTCCATTACATCCTGTGTGCTATAAATAGAGTCTTGGTGCCTCATCACTTCATTGATAGTGACTGGTCTCTGGCAAGATGCATTGCTATGGATTTAGCTGAAAGGAAAGGGCAGCCTGTGTATTCTGGATGAAATGACTGAATGATGATATTGATATCTATTTGGATCATTGCACATTAACCAGACAAGGCTGACAACAGAAAGGCTTCTGCTAACTTAACAGCGGTTGAATAAAGAATATTACAGCACAGAAGGAGGCCATTCGGCCCATTGTACTTGTGCCGGCTCTTTGGAAGAGCTAACAACTTGTTCTACTCCCCCGCTCCTACCCCGTAGCCTTGCAAAGTACCTATCCAATTCCCTTTTGAAAGCTAATATCGAATCTGCTTCCACCACCCTTTCAGGCACTGCCTTCCAGACCATCCAGACATCTGGCCTAGTTACTTTAATGTACCTGTTTTTAATGATCCAGTAGTTCTGAGCTGTTTCTCCTTTCCCAGAGCTTCCGTAACCCACCACCAACACAGCGTGGTTCAGCTTCGAGGTACTGCACCTGGTCTCATGGTAAACCCCTGCAATAGTAAACAGTACCAAAAGCGGGTGAGAATCTGATGGCTTTTGGGGGAAGACAAGATGCAGTCCTTTTCCAGACCAGATAAAACCTTTTGGTGGAATAAAACACACTTTCACCTTTGCTCAGGCTCTCACAGGGCTCTCTGAATCCCTTTGAAACGTCCTCCCGATGTGAAAGGCGTCATAGTAATAATAATAAGCTTTGCGTTTGATACGGCGCCTGATCACGTCATTGAGAAATCTCAAAGCACTTCACTGTAAAGTGAATTGACTGTACTTTGTGGGAAAAATGCGGCAGCCAATTGCTCAGAGAACCAAACAAACAGTCGTGGATTGAATGACCAACTTATTATTTTTTTTTTTGAGGGACTATTACCCCTGGAAAGCGATCCACCAATCGACTAACAACCGGGTTCCTACTTACCGCTGGGTAAACAGAGACGTGTGTGTGGAGGAAGAAAACTCGCCTTAGGTTTCGCCCTGACCGGGAATCAAACCCGGGTCCCCTCGCTTGCGAGGCGAGTGCTCTAACCAATACCCTGCAGGACTCCACGCATATCAAATACATTTCATCATTTTATTTTATAGAAAAAATGTAAGGAAGTACGGTGTGTTGTCCTCACCTGTGCGGTAGAACTGGAAAGAAAAGTGACTGCCGTCAATTCCAACAGACACAGGTCCGACCGTGGCTAGGGTCACGGCTAACGCAGCCTCATTGCCGGTGGGAATGGTTTTGAACCCAGTGCAGTTGCCAGCTCTGTAGTGCAGGTTGTATTTGCAGACTTCAGTGTCCTGGCAAAGGTAAGGAAAAGTAACATTAACGGGGCTGACATTTCGGCAAACTCGGCTAACAGTTAAAAAAAGGGAACTAAACTGCAAAGTGATGGAAATCACTTTGCAATCACTAGCTGCTGTTTGAAGTGTTCCCCTTCATCACAGGTGGAAAGGCTGAACCCAGCTACTGGGGATAAACTAGTCAGAAAATAAATATTTCTTCACATTAAGGGCTGTGAGCCTGAGAGCCAGAAATCGATTGGGATAAAAACAACAAATTACATTTACACAGCGCCTTTCACATCGGGAGGGCGTCCCAAAGTGCTGGACGGTCGAGGAGGTGCACCCGAGCTGGGGGTTGGGATCAGGAGGGCTAGAGGGCAGGGAGGGTAGGGGGTAGGAGGGTGACCAAAGAAGGGCAGTCGAAGAGGAAGATCGGGAGACTGGCCTTCAAGGAGGCAAAGGAGGGCTTGAGGTGAAGAGACTCCGAGATGGAGTTCCAAAGGGTAGGGGGCAGAAAGTCTGAAGGCTGAAGGGATGTCTGAAAAGGAGGTGGATATTTGGGAAACAAGGGTGTTTAAGGACACGGGACTAGAAATTCCACCTGTGTCTATTTTGGTAACATTTCAAACTGTAGAGAATTTTGCAAATTGTTAACTTCAACTTTGACTTTGAAGTTGATTTTTCAAAATAAAAGGTGCAGAAAAGCAGCTTCGAAATTAAGACTGAATTTCAGAAATTTGTCATATTTTTGCCGTTCTAAAACAGCTGAGAAAAGTAGAGCAAATCTAAACCCAGGTGTAATTTCTCCCCAATTAGAGACGAGGTGGGGATCGAAAGATAAGCCATGATTTAATAAACAATTGACCTCCTCCTGTTCCCATGTAGCTATGTTAGAATAATAATCCTAGCATTTCATATAACGCCTGATCATATCGTTGAGACTTCTCAAAGTACTTCACAGAATATACTGGAAAGTGAATTGTCTGTTGTCAGACTCCACAACTGTGAAGCACTCCAGGAAGCTACCCATCTGAAGGGCACAAATTGTTGGTGTTGTTGCCTGTATATTTTGTGGGCAAAGGTGAAGAAAAGGACAGAACAGCTCGGTATTAATCCCAAACCTTCCTTGTCTAAATCTAACTCAACTAACCTACAGCCATGGGGAAACTTGGCTCCAGGGCCCATTGGGGTTATTGATCATCCCCAATGTGCTGGTGCCTTGTGTGAATGAGGATGGGCTCTTACCATTCCTTTGTAGGGGTAGAAGATCTCGCTGTCAATACCGCCGTTGTCTCTCACATAGTCGAAGGCCGCCATCATGTTCCCACCTTTACATCCCATGTTGCCTCGGCCCCTGGAACAGTCCACGAGGTTCTGTTCGCTCAGTGAGGTCAGATGCCCTGTCCGTCTCTTGATCTGCCCCTCGAGCGAGCCAGTCGCACTGAAAGCCCAGCAGGAGCCACAGTGACCCTGGAGACACAAACACACAACGAAGACTGAACTCCCACTCGCACACCTGGTCGGCCACAACTCAACCCCTTACAGCTCTCATTTTTTGAAGAACGCCTTCCAAATCGAGTTAAGACTCCAGCAGTTAACCCCAACACACGCTCTGGGCTCCACCGCCCAAAAACTTGTGCCTAATATTTTCCGGAATTAAGTAAGCAGAGTGGATCCCTCCAGAGGGGGAGAGAGAGTGCGCATTGCATTCCAACAATCTATCTCTATTTCCATGTGTAGAGGTGGGATGCCTGGAATTCTCAGTTTGGTTTGGAAACTCATAGAATGGAGGAACAGGCTCCAAGGGATGAATGGCCTGCTCCTGTTCCCATGTTCCTATGATTCGTGTTTGATCGTGATGGAGGCGGAAAATTCCAGAAGGAAGAATAATGAGTCCTTGACGTTAAAATTAACATGTAGGGATGCCCTTGTCGACTTAACCCAGTCAGAGCAATTGAAAACATTTGAATGATTTCTTTCTTACCTGGTTCTTCACCCCTGTGATGTAGCCTTGTTGACGCCAATCCACATTCTGAGGGATTTTCACACGACTGGTCTCGAGAACCATTGGTTCATTGTGAGGCTTCATCTCAGGGCTTGTTGGGATAAATCCATTCATAAGTTGGTTGAACTCCTCATTCGTCTAAAAGAAAGAATTCAAATCTGTCTTGTTTTTTTTACTCTTTATGTCCCCTGTTCCATGTCACACCAGAAAGGAGCATCTCAAAGAGCATTACGGAGATTTACTGTAAAGTAGATCAACTGTATTTTGTTGGCAAATATATAATAATATTCAGGGCTTCTGTCTATATAATAATTTTCCTTGCATTTGATATAACACCCTCATATCAACATGTCTTAAAGTGCTTCACTGGCTCAGTTGATGACACTCTTGCCTTAGATTCAAAAGGTTGTGGGTTCAAGACCACATCAGGACTTTGAGCTTCGTGGCGTCTATACTGACATTCCAATCCAGTGCTGAGGGGATGCATTGCTTTGTCGGAGGTGCTGTCCTTTAGATGAGGTGTTTAACCAAGACCCCGACTGCCTGTTCAGGTTGACGTTAAATATCCCGTGCCACTGTTTGAAAAGAGAAGAGAGTTTCTCTCTCCTTGTGTTGTAGCCCGGCCAACAAATCCCCCAAATAAAATCAATCAGTCACTCCATGGCTGTTTGTGGGACAATGTTGAGTGCAAAATTGGCTGCTATTTTTGTCTAGAAAATACAGTCACCGTACTTTGCAGTAAATCCCATTTTTTTGACATGGAAAGTGTGATATCAAGTGCAAGGATTATTATTATCTTCACTCAAATGAAGACTGTTCCCTCACCATGTCTCCAAACTGGTTTAGCTCCATGCTGTACAGGTGTTTGCCCATTGAGTGCTCGAGGTTATGAAGTGCGATTTTGTTGAAGTTTTTCTCCCACACCATTCTCCTCCAGCTTTCCACATTCTACGCAACAGAACAACAACGACAATAAAGAAAGAACAAACAAATTACAACAAATTGCACTGCATTTATACAGTGCCTTTCACGGCGGGAGGACATCCCAAAGCTTTGGGAAGAAACAGTGACAAAGAAACAACGACAGATTTGCAGCATCCCGAAATTGCATCCGGAGCTCTGCGTCATGTAAAGAACATAACATAAGAATTAGAAGCAGGAGTTGGCCATTCGGCCCCTCTAGCCTGTGCCCCATCATTCAATAAGATCATGGCTGATCTATTCTAACTCCACCTACCCACCTTATCCGCCTTTTCCCTTAATCCCTTTATCCACAAGAAATCTATCAATCTCAATCTTGAATATGTTCAAGGACTGAGCATCTATAGCCCTTTGGAGTAGAGAATTCCATAAATTCACTACCCTCTGAGTGAAGAAGTTTGTCTTCAACTCAGTGCAAAAGGGCTTACCCCTAATTTTAAAACTGTGACCCCTGGTTATAGTTTCTGCAACCAGAGGAAAAAGTCTCCCACTATCTATTCTGTCGTGCCCTTTGATAATCGTATAGGTTTCTGTAAGATCACTCTCATTCTTCTATATTCTAGAGAATATAGGCCTAAATTGCTCAACCTATCCTCATAACTCATCTCCCTCTTCCCAGGTACCAACCTAGTGTATCTACGTTGTACCCCCTCCAAGGCGAGTACATCCTTTCTTAAATAAGGAGACAAAACTGCACACAATACTCTCGGTGTGGTCTCACCAGGGCCCTATACAGTTGCAGCAAGACTTCCCTACTCTTATATTCTAACCCTTTTGTAACAAATGCCAACACACCGTTAGCCTTCCTAATTCCTTGCTGTACCCGCAAACTAATTTTTGTGATTGGTGTACAAGGACACCGAAGCCCTCTGAACGCTAACACTATCTAGTCTCTCCCCTTCTAAAAAATAATCTGCTACTGTTTTTGCCACTTAGGTGGATGACCTCACACTTCCCTACATTATACTTCATCTGCCACCTATTTACCCACTCACCTGCCTATCTATATCTCGTTGCATTATTTTAATGTTATCCTCGGTGTTTACTCTCCCTCCTAGTTTAGTGTCGTGGGTAACACATTCCTTGTGAATGAACAAATTGGGGCTAAAAAAAGTGTTTCTTAAAATAGGATGCAAATTCACATTCACATACTGCCTTTCATGTCAGGGGACATTCCAAAAACCCTCTCTGAAGTAAATTCCTTAACAGGAAAAATAAATCACGTAAATGGATAAACAGAGATGTGTGGAGTAAGGAAATATGCCTAAGGTTTTGCCCCGCCTGGAATCGTAACTGGGTCCTCTCGCTTGTGAGGCTAAGCTACGCTATGGGAATCCACAAAAAATATGGAACTCTTCATGAATTAGAATAGTTTTGTACCTTTGGATATTGCTTTCCATGGAATGACATCCAACTCTTCCAGTTTTCATCCAGCGCAGGGTCAACGACGAACATAGGGACCACGGCAAGAATGAGAGACGCCAAAACACCCACAAAAAGAAGGATATTCATTGTGTATTGCCCGAGCGATGAACCCTGCTAATTAGACACAGACAATCATTCCTGTTTGTCACAGACAAATCCCTTAATTTGGTCACACAAGCAATGACTGTTTTGCAGGACACTACTGTGCAATATTGTCTACCGCGTTTCACCCACAAAATATACAGTTGATTCACTTTACAGTACAATATATTCCACGAAGCGCCTTTTTATTTTTATCATTTTCTCTTTGAGTCGCGAGAGAAAAGCCTTCGTGTCAAGGCACCTCACACTGCACAGCACTGCAACAGTCACAACACGTGAAAACACGGTTAAGATTCGTGCCAGCACCCAGCGCCAGACGGAGAAACAAGAGAAACCAACCTTACGGTGGTGTCCTCACGAGCTCACTGCAGATCACTCGGCTCTGAAACTTTCTGGAAAGTCTTACACAGCCTCTCAGCATCAAACAACCGCCCCCTCCCCTCTCAGGCGGTGCGGGTTTAATTACTTGAGTGCCTGCTGCCTCTGTGCCTTATTCTCACAGCTTAATTGCGTGAGAAGGAACCTCACTCACCCACAGGAAGTTTCATCTCTTTTTCCAATGAGCAACTGAAGCGCAGAGCGATGTTGCTAGCCAGAATGCGTGAGTGATTGACACACATCGTAAGGGCTAACAGGAAGGTTCTGAAAACAGTGGAAAAAGTGCAACGTAGATTCGCTCGGTGAACTTTGAAGTGATGGTCTCAGTTTGACACAGATCTGCATCACTAACAAACTTTGATGCGGTCTCCCCATTCAGCCTGGCTCAGTTGGTGACTCTCTCGTTTCTGAGATCAGAAGATTGTTGATCACACATTGGATTTTTTTTTAATACGTGCGATAACGAAAGCGTTCTTTCAGAGGAAATAGCTTTTTATCTAGAGTGGATGTGGAGCTAAAATTATAATAATAATAATCCTCACATTTGATACAGCGCCTCATCACATCATTGAGACACCTCAAAGCGCTCCAAGGAATAGACTGACGAGCAGTTTGATGTGTATTTTGTGGGAGAAACCAGTAAATGATTAAAATCTCTAAGATCCGAAGCACAAAGAGGCAGTGAATGATCTAAAATAGTGAGGGCGAAGGTGACCGACAGCAAAAGAACTGACGTAAATATCACAATAATGTTAATCCTTGCATTTGATGTTTCTCCTTTCACATTGGGAGGATATCTCTGGGACGCTACCCTGTGTGAGGGACGCTGTATAAATTCAAGTTGTTGTTGTTGTTATCTCAAAGCACTTCACAGGATTTATTGTAAAATGTAGTGCAGTGTTTTAAGGCAAACTCAGCAGCCAATTTGTGCACAGCGACATCCCACACAAAATAACCATGAAATGAATGACAATAACAACAACAACAACAACATGCACTTATATAGGGTGGAGTAAGGAAACTTGCCGAAGGCTTTGCCCTGCCCAGGAATTGAATCCGGTTCCTGTCGCTTGCGAGGCGAGTGCTCTAACCACTACCGTGGAGTCCTGTAGCTCAGTGGTTAGATTCACTCGCTTTGCAAGCGAGAGACCTGAGTTCAATTCCAGGCAGAGGGCGAAACCTTGGGCAAGTTTCCTTACTCCACACAGAGCCTAATAATAATCCCTCCAAAACCAAAAACAATAATAGTATTGGTCATTTTCAATCCACGACTGTCTGTGGGACATTCCGTGCGCAATTGGCTGCCGCGTTCGCCCACAAATATACAGTCAATTCACTTTACAGTGTGTTCTGTGCAGCGCTTTGGGACGTCCTCCCGACGTGAAAAATGCTATAGCAAATGCAAGGATTATTATTATTATTATTATTATTATTACCCTACAGGACTCCATAGTTTACAATTAAGTGGCCGAGATTTTTATACACCTTCCTCTTTTCTTTGCACGATCAGTGCCTTGTGCACGAGGCTAAGCAGACAAAGAGATATTTCCATGTTATATTTTCCATTGTATCTCATGGTAAATGTCATGGTGAGGTGACTAAATTGTGTAGCTCTGTTAATTTAAATTTCCTGCAGTTCTACAATGTTACCATCGGGTGTTAATCCATCTCATTCAGATGTCGCCTGCATACTGACCCGGACCAAACTCCGTATCCACACCTCACCAGTTCTGGCCCAGGCTCCACTGGCTCGCCATCACCGAATGGATCGACTCCTAGATCCTCACACTCCTGTTCAAATCCCTTCACTCCCTGGCATCTCCCTCACTCTCCGACCTACTCACTCCCCAATCCACCACCCGGCACCTCCGCTCGACTGGCACCAGCCTCCTCTCCATCCATCGAACCCCCCGCCCCACCATCGGAGGTTGCACTTTCAGCCACTACACCCCGAAACTCTGGAATGCTCTCCCTCAATCCCTCCATCTTGACCCCTCTCTCCCCTTTTCAAGTCGCAGCCCTTCGTCGATTGCATTTACGGCCACCTCCGCCCCTGACGATCCCCCTCCCCTACCACCCCAACACCTTCCCCCGGCTTGGAGTCAGGCTTCGCCACTGTTAAGCGCTCTGAGACGCTGCAGCTGTTATATAAGTGCAAGTTGTTGTTGTTAAAATCGGAAAGTGTATTGTTACCCCAAACAATGGCGCCCCCTGGTGGCAGATATTGGTACAGTAGGTATTCCTTTGGAGATCCTCACCAAATCCACAGTGGGTCTGAAAGGATGAGATCAAAATGTCTCCCTTCATCCAATCTGCCTATTCTACATCTTATGATGAAGTTAGAAGAAGGAGAGGGATTTGCCTGACTGCCCATCGACGGTGCTTGCGGTCACCCACTCCCTCCCCCCAGTTCGGCGTCAGGCTCCCCAACTGTCAAGTGCCCCAAGATGCTGCCCGTGTAAAGGGTGCAGTGTAAGTGTAAGTTATTGTTGTTGAGCACAGTTTCAGCCTTTGCATCAGCTCAATCTCGTGTCTCGGGCTAGTGCACACGTGTGGGTGTCAGGTGTCAGGTGAGGGCAGGATCGGGGCTTCGCTGTGAAGACTCATGGGTGCAAATAGGCACTTGGGCGAAGTCCTTGCTCTCAGGCTAAGTGTGGACCTCATTACACTTTACCGTCCAGCACTAATGCAGCCCATTTCCTTCTACAATTATTTTCTAAAGTCTTTGAACAGAGAGACAGAGGGAGAGTGTGAGGAGTGAACATGAAGAACATCAGACCAATTGGAGTATCTGTGAAATGTAATAACCTTTATACTTGATATCGCACCTCATAATCATCCTTTAATACAGCACCTTATCACATTGAGAGCCTGTCTCAAGCACTTCACAGGATTTACCGTGAGCTGCGGTGACTGTGTATTTTGTAGGCAAACGCAGCAACCAATTTGCGCACAGCAATGTCCAACAAACAGCCATGATGTGAATGATCAATTTTATTTGGAGTGACAGCTGGACTACGAGTCCTGATGTGAGGCTTTCCAGTCCAATATGGATCTCTGAGTTTCTGTAGTCTCCAAACCTTCGGATTGAAATTCCACCTGGATATTTACAGTGTCCTGGAATTGGTAAAGTCTTAAAAACTGGCATCAACATGAAGTTTCAATTCAACAGTTTGCCAAATGTTGAGACTCTAAAATACTACATAGAGTAAATCTAGACCCAAATGGAATTTCTCCCCATTAGATTCTTTTGGAAGCTTTGATTTGATTTCTTGGGAAGGTGGGGAGAGGAGGGAACAAGGTCGAGGAGCTCAAAATAATAATAATAATAATAATCCTTGCATTTGATATAGCGCTTTTCACGTCGGGAGGACGTCCCAAAGCGCTTCACAGAACACACTGTAAAGTGAATTGACTGTATATTTGTGGGCGAACGCGGCAGCCAATTGCGCACAGCAATGTCCCACAAACAGTCGTGGATTGAAAATGACCAATTTATTATTGTTTTTTGGTTTTTGGAGGGATTATTATTAGGCGTGTGGAGTAAGGAAACTTGCCCAAGGTTTCGCCCTGCCTGGAATTGAACTCAGGTCTCTAGCTTGCAAAGCGAGTGCTCAACCACTGAGCTACAGGACTCCAAAAGGCAGGGAAAGGTGGACAGTTCTATTAAGGATCCGGAACATTCAGGATAAGAAAGTTGAGATATTTGGTGAACAAGTCTGACCATTTCTGTATTGGAGATAACTGACATTGACCGTCAGAACTTCCTTCTTCACTGACTTCACTTTAATAATAATCCTTGTATTTGATATAACGGCTTATCATGTTGTTGAGACGTCTCAAAGTGCTTCACAGAATACACTCTAAAGTATTTTATGGACTCTGTATTTTGTGGATTGTATACTTTTAACGCCCTTACTTCCCAAGAACCTATCAATCTTCCTTTTGAACATCCCAATTGTTTCTGCATCTACAGCCTCTGGGGCAGGTTAAAATCAAACCAGGAGGTCAGGTCAGATTGCCGTCTCTCTTTATTACACAGCTCTGTACTTCTGAGTCCATATATGAATGAGCAACAGAGACACCAAAACAGAACGTTAATACTTTGACTTTTGCATAAAATGCAGAATACCAGAGTCACTTCAGTAGCACATGCATAAAGAAATATTTTTAAGCAACCGATTTTTAAGCGCTCCAAGATGCTGCCCCGGGTGAAGTTTGCTATATCAATGCACGTTGTTGTTGTTGATTTAGTCCGGGAAAAGCATTTAACGATTTCCGATAATATGAAATTCTTTCTCAAAGGTTTGTTGGCGGAGCCTTCTTAAACGACACTGGGACATGGTGACTGAAGGCAGCTGAAGATGCCTACAATCTTAGAAGAGTTTGGATTTCTTAAAGTGGAGTCACTACAGTTCCAGTTGGTCCACATTTACACCACAGGATAATGTGCGTAACTGGCAATGCCGCAGTTATTGCCCTTGTCCTTTGCCGTGTGGAAGTATCCACTGTTGCCCCATTTGACTCCCCAACTAAAGGAAGAAAGAGATAGAAATTACGGTTAACATCACTTAAGGTCATAAAGTCACACCAAAAAAGCTTGTGTGCTGCTCTGAGATTAAGAGGTGGACGAGAGCGGGGCAGGAGGGATTTAGGGAGAGGAGGAGGCCATTCAGTCCATCTGGCCTGTTTCACCATTTTATTGGATCATAGCAGATTTGGTAATCTCATCTCTCTGCTTTTCTCCACATGTGTTAACACTCCTACTTAGTTCCCAAGTATCTGTCGATCTTTTGACCAATGCATTCTGCATCTCTGACCTCCTGGGTTCCACAGTTTCACAAGCCTCCATGGGAAGAAATCTCTTCTGATCTCACTCCTAACCGGCTGAGCTCCAATTTTAAGACCATTACAATGCAGAGATAATGTGAAGCATATCCTCAGAGTGATAAGCACCGGCAGAAGTTACCCCTAGTGAAGGGCACAATATAAATTCAAGTTGTTGTTGTCTCCATCTTTAGGCAAAACTGGAAAGAAATCAACACGTAATGTAAGTTCGCATGAGTTGGTTCAGAAAAAGAAAGTTCCTTTGGCCCATTCAATCTCACGCTCATCTAAACCAATTCCTGTCATTCATTTGAAAGACTGTCAA